CCCAAGCACTCGGGCCATCTTCTACTGCTTTCCCAGGCCACAGCAGAGAGCTGGATCAGAAGCGGAGCAGCTGGGTCTAGAACCGGCGCCCATATGGGATGCCGGCGCTTTGGGCCAGGGTGTTAACCCACTGTGCCACAGCACTGGCTCCGCATTTAGTCATTCATTCATTCATTCATTCATTTATTTTGATAGGCAGAGTGGACAGTGAGAGAGAAAGAGACAGAGAGAAAGGTCTTCCTTTTCCGTTGGTTCACCCTCCAATGGCTGCTGCGGCCGGCGCACCGCGCTGATCTGAAGCCAGGAGCCAGGTGCTTCTCCTGGTCTCCCATGCAGGTGCAGGGCCCAAGCATTTGGGCCATCCTCCACTGCCTTCCCAGGCCACAGCAGAGAGCTGGACTGGAAGAGCGGCAACCAGGACAGAATCCGGCGCCCCACGTATTTAATCTTAAATTAAATATTTCTTCAAATTCCTTTAGTTACTTTTTCTAACTTACAAAATTGAGCATGTGGCTAATTTTCAGTCCTTTTGCTTTTCTAATACACATTTAACATTAGGCTTTCCTTCTAAGAGCCCCTCCAGATACATTCTCATTTCCCCAAATCTCTCCATTCACTGGTTTGAGTTTCGAGTTATTTAGAATTATCTTTTGTTGATTCTGATATGCAGTGACACAGGAGGGGATAAGACAATGTTACCATAAACAAGGAGACACAGGCCCACCGGGCCTGAGGAGTTACCAGATGCATGCTTTGAAGTAACTATGCTTAATATACTGAAGGAAACAAAAAACAAGACTGAGAGTTCCAGCAGAGAACTGGAAACTATAACAAAGAACATTTAAACTGCAGAAATGAAAAATGCAATGGTATTATCTCAATAAATAGATTCGACAGTGGATTGCATACAAATAAAGAAGGCCAAGAATAATTAAGATACATTCAAGAGCTGTACAGAGGCAGGGAAAGAAGAGCAGGACACTGACTTCACTTGACAGCAGACTTTACAAAGCCACAATAATTAAGAGTGTGTATTGAGCCCGGCGCTGTGGTACAGCAGGATAACGCCCTGGCCTGAAGCGCCGGAATCCCATATGGGCACCAGTTCTAGTCCCGGCTGCTCCACTTCCTATCCAGCTCTCTGCTATGGCCTGGGATAGCAGTAGAAGATGGCCCAAGCCCTTGGGCCCCTGCACCCGTTTGGGAGACCCGGAAGAAGCTCCTGGCTCCTGGCTTCGGATCGGCGCAGTTCCAGCTGTTGTGGCCAACTGGGGAGTGAACCATTGGATGGAAAAGCGCGCTCGCTCGCTCTCTCTCTGCCTTTCCTCTCTCTGTGTAACTCTGTCAAGTAAAAAATAAATCTTTAAAAAAAAAAAGAGTGTGTGTTATAGATACCAGTAGGAACACATATGTTAACGTAGTAAAACAGAACAGAGACTTTTATGCTAGAGTTAAGAATTCTTGATTTGTTCTAAAGACGGAACTGCAAAGCAGGAAGGAAAGGATGGTTTTTTTGATCAATAGTTTTATTTAGAAAAATATCAAAGTTGATCCCTGACTAGTAGAATACATATAAATCAATGACAGATAAGTTTAACAGTGAAAACAAAAATATTTTTTTAAAAAATCAGACCTCTAGGAGATTATATAGGAGAATATCTACACGACTCTGTAGTAAGAAAATATTTCTTAAAAAAGTTATTATCTGGAGCCAGAGCTATGGAACAGTGGGTAAAGCAGCTGCTTGCAGTGCCATATGGACACCTGGCTGCTCCATTTTGGATCCAGCTCCCTCCTAATGTGCCTGGGAAGGCAGTGGAAGATGGTCCAAGTGCTTGGGCCCCTGCACCCACATGGGAGACCCAGATGAAGCTCTGGCTCTTGGCTTCAGCCTGCCCAGCCCTGGCTACTGCAGCCATCTGGGGAATGAAGCAGCAGATGGAAGATCTTTCTCTCTCTGACCCTCTCTCTCAAAAGAATAAATAAATCTTTTCAAAAAATATTAGCCAGGGACCAGCGCTGTGGCACAGAGGGTTAATGCCCTGGCCTGAAGTGCCAGCATCCCATATGGGCGCCGGTTCAAGACCCGGCTGCTCCACTTCCGATCCAGCTCTCTGCCGTGGCCTGGGAAAGCAGTGGAAGATGGCCCAAGTCCTTGGGCCCCTGCACTCATGTGGGAGACCCAGAAGAAGCTCCTGGCTCCTGGCTTCAGATCGGTGCAGCTCTGGCCATTGCAGCCAACTAGGGAGTGAACCACTGGATGGAAGACCTCTCTCTCTCTCTCCCTCCCTCCCTCCCTCTCCTCTCTCTGTGTAACTCTGACACTTGCAAATAGATAAATACATCTTTAAAAAATATATTAGCCATAGAGAGAAACCACTGACAAACAGAACGTCTCAGAAGATATCATAATGAGAGTAAAAAGGCAAACTAGAGTAGAAGATGTTTGCATTGCCTGTGACAGCAGCTTGTACACAGAACATGTACTGAACACTTTCAGATGAACAAGCGAGAGCGACAGTCCAGTAAAAAAAAACAGGACAAGAAATCTGGACGGGGAATTCACAAATGTATCTATATGCTAATCCATATATGAAAAAAAGGCTCAATCTTGTTAGTCAACATGGCAGTGTAAATTGAAGTCATCATGCAATAGCACTATTCATTCACTCAAATGGATAAAAAGAAAAAGACTGACATTCAGAATGATGGCCAAGATACAGAACAACCAGAACTGTCAAATACTATTAATGAAAACATAAATTGCTACAATCACACTGGAAAATTCACCAGCAGAATCTATTAAAGGTGACTAAGAATATACTCAACACCACCATTCCTGTGCATAAACTCAACAGATAGGTACACACATGTATTCCAAAAGATATAATCAGGAATATTCACAGTAGCATTAAACATAATAGCCAAAAATTAGAAGTAACTTAATTGGGGCCGGTGCTGTGGCGTAGCAGGTTAAGCTGCTGCTTGCAATACAGCCATCCCATATGGGCGCCAGTTTGAGACCCGGCTGCTCCACTTCTGATCCAGCTCTCTGCTATGGTCTGGGAAAGCAGTGGAGTATGGCCCAAGTTCTTGGGCCCCTGCACCCGCGGGGGAGATCTGGAAGAAACTCCTGGCTCCTGGCTTCGGATTGTCACAGCTCCGGCTGTTGTGGCCAGCTGGGGGCTGATCCAGTGAATGGAGGACCTCTCTACCTCTGCCTCTCCTTCTCTCTCTGTGTAAATCTTTCAAATAAATAAATAAATCTTAAAAAAAAAAGGTAACTTAATTATCCATTAATAGATAAGTAAATTGTGGTTTAGTCATAAATGTCATTCCTATGTGGGTGTACAGCAACAAAAGTACATAAGCTGTAGCTGTATAAACAATAACCCAAATGAATTTTATGCTATGTTGAGTGAAAGAAGGCAGACACACAAAAGAATACAGATTACAGGGCAAACTGCTGCCTGCATCCCATATGGGAGCCAGTTCATGTGGCAGCTGCTCCACTTTGGATCCCGTTCTTTGCTAATGTGCCCAGAAAGGCAGCAGAGGATTGGGTCCCTGCCACCCGCTTGGGAGACCCAGAAGAAGCTCCTGGCTCCTGACTTCCCGTGGTCATCTGGGGAGTGAATCAGCAGATGAAAGATCTCCCTCTTTCTGTAACTATCCCTTTCCAATAAATTAATACATCCTAAAAAAAAAAAAAAGAATACAGAGCAAATGATTCAATTTACTCAAAGGCTTAAGAACAGAAGACAGCAGCATGTGGTGCTAAGAACACAGGAGCAGTCACAGCCAAGGAGGAGTGGGAGCAATGACTGTAAGGATGAAGATACTTCCCAGCCCTGGGAGGCAGAGGTAGAGTTCCAGTCCTTGGCCTGGCAAATACACACACATGTATTACATGTGGCACATACACGTACGGGTCCATTTTCCTTATTTATTGACCTATGGTTTGCCTTCTGTTCTATGCTTCAATGTAAAAGTTAAAACAAAAACAAGAGGGACCTTCCAACAGCTCCTGCTGAAGCGCACCAGGCCTCTCTGCTTTTCTTTGAAGAATGGCTCCCGCCTTCCATCACACTGCTCTGCTTTACTGTGCTGCCTGTGTGGAACCAGCATCCTTTAAAAAGTGAAAATGCAGCCAACTCTCTTGCTGGCTAAACCCTCCCTTAGAGAAATCTCAGCAAAGCATATAGCTGGAACTGAGAAAATATTTACTGAATGAATACAGTCTCAATCATGAAGTTTTAATACTTAAAGGGATCTTAGGAGATCATGTCATTCAATTGGCTGCTCTTACACATAGGAAACTAAAGCCCAGAGAAGAGATGTGCCAAGGTCATAGAGCATTTGTATAGATACTAATTCTATCATTCTTTCTGTTATATATGTACTATATTTAAATGAAGAAGCAAAGTGTTTCTGGTATGATAAAGAAATAAAAGAACAAACAAAAGGCAGCCAACATAGTTCAAACACAACTAGTAGTAAGATTCCTGCAGTAGAGATTAAAATTACCACAACCAGTATTAAGTCCTAACTACAGTGCCACTGTATACACAATGTGAATCAGTAAATGTTATAAAATCGAATAAAAAATACTGCATTGTGATCAAGTCCACCAAACCAATCACATGTTAGAAAAAGTTTAACCTGCAAGAATAAGCAGCTATCTTTCCCAATAACCAGTAGTGGGGAAAGGCAGTATTAACATGCCAAGTCCATCCGTTTTCTACCCCATATAGGATACCAATCTCACTCTGTGGGGTGTTAAGGGGAATCCAAGGAAGTTCGCAAGGCTATCTCAAAAACAGTCACCATAACGGTAATAAGGGGTCTAAAGATGGGCAAAAAAAAAAAAAAAAGAGTGAGATTGAGTTTCACATATACTGACTAATTTGGAAGACTGACATGTCAAGATCACAGGAGGAATGTATTAATAAAAGCTGTATAGCCTTGCTTAAGGGACACAAACCAGACAGTTACCATACCTTAGTTCCTGGCTTTCTGTCGTGAGGAGAGCAAGAAGTGCCCATGCGAGTACCTGGCTGTCGTCCCCACCGTCAAATTTACTGTGATGCTTAATGTTCTGTAGCAGGAGCTGGTCAAGGCACTCCAGGGCCTTCTCTTGCACAGTGCTCTCACAGTCCATCACCACAGGGATTACTCCCATCAGCCAGGCTTTCTGGATCTGGACGCATCTCGGGTAGGCCTTAGGATTGCAAAATGACGACGTCAGAAGGTCTGACGTTATCAGAGGTCTAAACACAAGTCCATGAAGTTATGATCAACATTTTGAGAAACAAGTTAAGCATATTCACATACACAATTGCAAACAGACCATAAAGTGAAAGGAAATCAATATTTAAAATATATGCAAAACAAAGTTTGACCCCCAGCTTATCATAAATCAGTGTGCACTGAAATTTCAAACTTCATTATTTTATTAGTAATAAATCCATCATTTCTTCAGCATTCAAAAGCAAAAGCAAATAATAAATAGTTATCCTAAAGGACAATTAGCACAGATGCTGGTGGAAAAAGTAAAAATATATATTGCTTATTGCCTTCTCCATAAAATAAAAAATAAACATGTTTCTAAAATTTTTCAACAGTTAATTAGTTGGTAGAAGCAAATTATATATAGTATTAGTACATTTGCTGCTTTGGCAATATCATCTATACGTGTGTATGTGTGTGTATGTGTGTGTTTCAAAGATTTATGTATTTTTTTTTTTTTTTTGCCAGGCAGAGTGGACAGTGAGAGAGAGAGACAGAGAGAAAGGTCTTCCTTTTTGCTGTTGGTTCACCCTCCAATGGCCACCGCCGCCGCTGCCGGCGCACCACGCTGATCTGATGGCAGGAGCCAGGTACTTCTCCTGGTCTCCCATGGGGTGCAGAGCCCAAGTACTTGGGCCATCCTCCACTGCACTCCCTGGCCACAGCAGAGAGCTGGCCTGGAAGAGGGGCAACCGGGACAGAATCCGGCGCCCCGACCGGGACTAGAACCCGGTGTGCCGGCGCCGCAAGGTGGAGGATTAGCCTAGTAAGCCACGGCGCCAGCTAGATTTATGTATTTGAAAGACACAGTGAGAGAGGGAGAAGGGGAGGGAGGGAAAGAGACAGAGGGAGTGAGAGGAAGAGAGACATCTTCCATCCACAGGCTCACTGCCCAAATGTCAGCAATAGCCAGTGCTGGGCCAGGCCAAAGCCAGAAGCCAGGAGCCAGGAGCCAGGAATTGTATCTAGATCATCTATGTGCATGGTAGGGACCCAAGCATTTGGGCCATCACCTGCTGCCTTTGGAGGTGCAACAGAAGAAGCTGGAATGGAAGTGGAGCAAACTGGGACTTTAAGCAGCACCCACAGTGGCAGCTTAAATTTGACAAAAATTAATCTGGGCTTCTGGTTTACCAAAATTAATTAGAAAAAAAATTTTATGTGATATTTTAGCTGAAGTGAAGCAATGACAAAATTATTGTTCTCAGGAATGTGTGTTGTGGCACAGCAGGTTAAGCTGCTGCTGTTTGGGATGCCTGCATCCCATATCAGAATGCCAGTTTGAGTTACTGCTGCTCTGATTCTGATCCAGCTCCCTGTCAATGCTTCCTAGGAAAGCAGATGAAGATGAAGATGGTTCAAGTATTTGGGACTTTGCTACTCATATAGATGACCTGGCTGAGTCCCAGGTGCCTGGCTTTGGCCTGGCCCATCCCCAGCTGCTCAGGCATTTGAGGAGTGAGTCAGCAGATGGAAGATGTATCTTTCTTTCTGTCTCTCTGATACTGTGTCTTTCAAATAAATAAATATTAAAAAAAAAAAAAGATTAATGATACCAAGCATTAGTTCTGTACTGGTCAGCTTATTGCTACTACAACAAAATTCTTGGCAGATACTAACATAATAAAGAGAAGAGTTTTATTTTGCTCATAGCTCTGGAGCTTCCAGTTGAAGATCAGAAGGCCTTTAGTTTGGCCTCTGAGGAAGGTGGCAATGATGGGGTGAGGAGTACGTGTGGAGGAAGGATCACATGGTGAGCCAGGAGGCAGAGTGGGTGGGCCTGATCTGGTTTATATAATCAACACTCTCACAAGAATAACCTTCTGAGGGAACACTCTCAACTTCCTAACCACCTCCAACTAATGACAGGCATTGTGGAGCAGCACCAACATCCAATGTCAGAGTGCCAGCTTGAGTCCTGGATATCCATTTCTGATCAAGCTCTCTGGTAGTGCACCTGGGAAGGCAGAAGGAAATGGCTAAGTGCTTGGGTCCCACATAAATGTGGAAGATCAGGATAGAATTCCTGGCTCCTGGTTTCAGCCTGGTCCAGACCTGGCTGTTGGTAACCATTTGGGGAATGAACCAGTGGATGGAAGATCTCACACTCTGTCACTCTGCCTTTCAAATAAATAAACAAATCTTAAAAAAACAAAACAAAACAAAAAAACCTCCCACTAGGCCCACTTAAATTCTTAAAATATTATAACTGGATGATATTTCTATCCTCTTAATATTATTAACATATAACCTTGGGGTTCATTGTTATTTTTAAAGATTTACTTGCTTATTTAAAAGGCAAAGTGACAGAGCAGGAGAGACAGAGCAAGTGAGCAAGCGAGAGAGAAGAGAGATCTTTCTTATGCTGCTTCACTCCCCCATATGGTCGCAATGTCCAGGACTGGGCCAGGCTGAAGGTAGGAGCCAGGAAATCCATCCGGGTTTTCCACATGGAGACCAAGCACTCGGGCCATCTTTCACTGCTTTCCAAGGTGCATTAACAGGGAGTTGGATTGGAAGCAGAATAGCCAGGACTTGACCCAGTGCTTTGACATGGAATGGTGGAGCTACAAGTAATGGTTTAATTCACTGCACTGTAATGCTGGCCCCAAAATTTGGGGTTTAAACATATGCATGAAGTCAGCAGCCAAATTTTGTTCAAACCAAAACAAAATTACATTTAACAGGAAGCATTGCCTCTCAAATGCCATCTACAGATGTCTCCATCTTTCCTCTTTACACTGTACAGTCCTACAGCTGACTTGGTAGAGTTTCTAATGGTCAACCCAACATTTAGCAACAGGTTTTTAATGCACAGAATTACTTTTAGTGTAAAATACCATGTATTAGGTTCATAATGCCTTGCTTCTCACCATGAGAAGTTCAGTAAGGGATTGCAGAGCCTGCTTCCGGACAGACACTGCAGGGTCTCTGCACTGGTCTTGCAGAATCGACAGGTCTTCCTCCATACCCAAGATGTCACAGTGCTTCAAAATACTCACTAACACCTGGAAAACACATGTGAAACAAAGTCAGTGTGCAAGAGGACATTTCATTAAGCTTGCGGCTCTTTAAAACTTTTAGAGTCGAGGATCTACTCCTCTTCTTACAACATCCAGGAAACTTCTTGAATCAGGTAAAAGCTAAAGAAATCATGACATGCCTTTTACATAAATGGATATCTAGCAATTCATGAACTTACTGAAATTCAGCCATGGTTCCAGATAAAGAATAGTTTTCTTTTTTCTGTTGCTTATATTTTTATTTTTATTTTAATAATCCCTTTTCTAAACAGAAGAAATTAAGGATATAAATTTCTGATTTAACTCAATGAAAAAGCTAAAAAAGCAAATAATCTTTCAGGACATCTAGACAATTTATATGTAACAGAACCAAGGCCAAATAACAAATTAAGTGAAAAGCAAGTTGAGTGATTAAAGTGGCCTACGGGTTTTAAAAATATCCCCTCATTCCCAAGCTCTTAGTCTTCAACAACAGAGTGTATTTAAAACACATGTAGGAAAACCTCCCACCTGGAGTGCAGACTTCCTCACATTGGTCTTTTCATCCCTGATTCTCTTCCTCAGCATTTCCATGACGCATCTTTCTGTTGAGGGAATGCCAGCGAGTCAGTATAGTCTGAGGAAGATGGACAGCATTTAAAATTTCACCACACAATACCAGGAAAATATGTTCAACTGAAAGACTACTTAGCATGCTTTAAATCCTAAGAAATCAGAGTAAAAAAAAAAAAAAAGAAAAAATGGAGTAATCAGATATTCACTATTAAGAGCATACATTTTGGAATATTAAAAATTTGATTTTAGGGCTGGTGTGTAGCTCTGTGAGCTAAGCTGCTGCCTGTAATACTGGCATCCACAACTCAAGTGCTGGCTCCAGTACCCACTGCTCTGCTTCTAAGCTAGTTCCATGCTGATGTGCCCAGGAAAGCAGCTGAAAACGGCTCAAGTACTTGGGCCCCTGCCACTCATATGGGAGACCAGGATGGAATTCCTGGCTGCTGGCTTCACCCTGACCAGCCCCACCTGTTGGCAGCCATCTGGGGAGTCAACCAGCAGATGGAAGATATTTTCTCTCTCTCTCTCTGCCTTTCAAATAAACAGATTTGAAAAAAAGAAAAAAATGGTTTTAAATCTTGGCCCCCACTTCTAAAATTCCAAATGAATTATTCAACTCCTCTGTTTTGTGTAGCTATAAGTAGGAATATCTACCCCAAAGGTTGTTTAAAGATTTGGTGAGACAATGTATAACAGCAGCTTTAAAACTCTTTACCAAAGGCCTCTTCACACTCTGACAAATTGCTGAGGGTCCCAAAGAGCTTTTACAAGTGGATAATATCTTAATATGAGTTAGAAAGTTAAACTGGTAATTATAAAAGTACTTACTAATCCATTTAAAAATATTAAGACATGTTATCACAAATAGCATTTTAAAAATGAAATATAACCACATATTCCAAAACAAACAGAGATGTTTTGATATAATTATGAACTCAATATTCACTTGGGAGATCCCTTAACCCTTTAGGGGACCCAAACCATATTTTGGGAGCTGCTGATATACCAGAGTAATACAATGTGGGAAAAACCAATGTAAATTCCACTACTGTCTCAGAATAACCACATGATCATTTCAATAGACGCAGAGAAAGTACCTGCAGGATCCAATACCCCTTTATGACAAAAACACTCAACAAACTGGAATGGAAGAAAACTTCCTTACACTGACAAAGGTCATCCTGAGAAAGCCCACAGCTAACACTGGGCTCAGTGGTGAAGACCAAAAGCTTTCCCTCTAGATTCAGAAAAAAAGCAGGACACTTCTATTCAACACTGTGCTAGAAACTTTAGCTACAGTGAATAAGCAAGAAAAACACATAAAAAGTCCCAGATGGGGGAGGGAGGAGGAAGCAAAACTCTCTCTAGTTCTAGATTTGATTTGACATATAGAAAATTCAAAGGAATCCACACACACACAAAATATTTCAGAGCTAGTAAATATAGCAAGGTTGCAGGATATAAGATCAATAACCAAAAATCATTTGTAAAAACTGGCAGAGGACAATTTGAAAATAAAATTGAGAGAAATATATTTATAATAGCAACAGAAACAATCAAATACTTGAGACCTAAATGTAAAGAACAACTATATATCAATAAACACACCAAAGACCTAAATACATAAAGAAGCATCCAGTGTTGATGGCCTGGAGGACTAAAAACGTTAAGATGGCAACACTTCCCACATTGTCTAACAGATCAATCCCCATCAAAACCCAAGATAACCATTTTTGCAGATCATGATGGCTGATTCTCAAATTCATATGGGAATACAAGGGACCCAGAAGAGTTGAATCAATTTTGAAAAAAACAAATTACCTCCTGAGTTCAAAACTCATTATTGAAGGAAACCAGAAAATATCACCCCAAAATATCCCTCTATAGCAGAAGTTATTTTGAGACTGAAGGCAATTACCCAACAGCAAGCAGAAGAAGAGTTCTCATCGTCGCCTCTACTGCCTGAAGGCAGTACATAAATCCTCTTCACGGAGACAAAAGGTTCTTACCACCACGGAGACAGCACAAGAATGCACAAACCTTATGCATTAGTTTCTCCCCATGTATTTACTTTCCTATAGTTTCCCACCCTTGGAAGTCCCAAATTATTTTCTATGGCTTTATCATTTCTCTATAAATTCATTGCTTTTTGTTGAAGATGCTACACAGTAGAGATCTATTGCCACTGCCTTGAGTTTACTTGGCATTGAGATTTTTAAACATCGTATGTACCATAAAATGTCTTTTTTGTTTTCTCATTAATTTTTTGTTATAGGGGTCTATCCGAAACTCATGAGTGTTGATGCCAGCATTGTGGTACAGCAGGTTAAGCCAACATGTGTGATGCTGGGATCCCATATGGGCGCTGGTTTGAGTCCTGGCTGCTCCACTTCTGATGCAGTTCCCTGCTAATGCATTTGGGAAGCCAGTGGATGATGGCCCAAGTCCTTGGGCCCCTGCCATGCATATGGGAAATCCAGATGAAGCTCCAGGCTCCTGGCTTTGGCCTGGACCAGCCCTAGACTGTTGAAGCCATTAGGGAAGTGAAAGAGCAGATGGAAGATCTCTGTCTCTCTTTAACTCTGCCTTTCAAATAAATAAAAATAAATCTTTTTTTTTTAAAGTACTCATGAGTATTGAGAAAAAAATTAATTTTCCTCTTCCATACTATAAGGTATCAGTAGTCAATACAGTGTGGTGCCAGCATACAGATAGGCATGTAGATCAGAGGTATAAAATTCAGAGTATAGAAATATGCTTGTATATATGCAGTCAATTTTCTGCAAGAGGCCAAGACCATTTAAAAGTGAAGGAATAGTCTTTCAAATAAATGATGTGATATCAACGGGTTATTTACAAGCAAAGAGTAAAGGTAGATCCCTGCATCATACTATTTGCAAAAGTTTACCCAAAATGAATCAAAGACCTAACTATGAGAGCTAAAACTATAAAATTCTTAGAAAAAAACAGCAGTAAATCTTTGTGACCTTGTGTTAAGCAATGATGTCTTAGCTATGACACCAAAAACACAAATAAAAAACTATAAATTAGACTTCATCAAAATAAAATGTTTTCTGCTTCAAAGAACAATACCAAGAAAGTGAAACGATAACCCACAGAATGGGGAAAATTACAGAACTGCAGGCAGTGGCTTTACCTACTTTGCCACAGTGCCGGCCCTCCAGCTCCCTTCTAATGCTCCTAGGAAACAGCAGTTGATGACTCAAGTACTTGAGTTCCTGCCACACATGTGGGAGACTTGGATAAAGTTTTTGACTTTTGGCTTTGGCCTAGCCCATCCCAGCTGTTGTGGGCATTTGGGGAGAAAGTCAGCAGAAGAAAGATCTCTCTCTCTCGCTGTCAAATAAATAAAAGTACAGACATGACAAGTGCTGATGAAGAGAAATTGTCACACATTGCTAGTGGGATTGTAAAATGGAGCAGCGACTTTGGTAAACATATCCTTGATTGTGGGGAGCAACTCGGACTAGACTAAGTTACTCGAATTAAGACTTATTCTATGCATCTGCTCTCCCACAATATGGCGCTGGGAGAGGAGGAAACAGCTTCTACACAGCTGCCTCCAGTTCAACCAATAAGCAGCAGGACCTGCTCCTGATTGGAGGAGAGCAGCATACTCGGCGTGTGGGTAGCAGAGTTGGGATTGGTGGAAGAGGACTATAAAGGAGGAGAGAGACAACATGCACCAGGAACATCTAAGGGGAACATCTGAAGGAACACCTGTGCAGCCCCCGAGAGAGCCGGCCGGCGGTGTGCCGCTCCCCTGCGCAAGTGGGGAAAGTGGCAGGGGGAACCGCCCTTCCACGGAGGTGGAAGGGACGGTAGCCAACCTGGGAAGAACCAGCAGCAAACCCGGGGAGGGCCGAGCAGACGAAAGAACAGCGCAGGGTCCTGTGTCGTTCCTCCACGAAGAAGGGGAGCGACATAATGGTGCCGTGACTCGGATATGAAGCCTGGGCAGGGTTTAGTGTCGTTCCTCCATGAAGAGGGGGAGCGACACTTGATATGTTAAACAGTCACCACAAGACCCAGAAGCTCCATTCCTACATATATATTCAAAAGGAGTGAAAACATATGCCCACCCAAAAATATGTACAAGAATGTTCATAGCACTATTACTTATAATAACCAAAAAATGGAAATGACCCAAATGTGTGCCAACTGATAAATGGGTAAATAAGATATGGTATATCATACAATGTAATATTATTCAGCCATGAAGAAACAAAGTTATATATGTGTGTATATATATATATACACACACATGTGTGTGTGTATATATATATATACACACATATATAACAATATGGATGAACCTTGAAAACATGCTAGGTGAAGGAAATCAGACAATCAGACACAGAAAACCACATATTGTAGAATTCTATTTATGTGGAATGTCCTGAATGGGCAATTCTACAGGGACAGAAAGTGAGTGAGTGGGTGTCAGAGGCAGGAGGATTGGGGAATGAAAAGTGATTGCTAATGTATATGATTTCTTTTTCAGCTGAAAATGTTCTGGAATTAGATTACACAATCCTGTGATGATGACGATGATGATGATTTTACAGATTTATTTATTTTCAGAGAGTGAGAGAAAGACAGAAAGAAAGAGAGATCATCCACCTGCTATTTCAGTCCCCAAATGGTAGCAATGGCTGGGGCTGGGCCAGGCTGAAGCCAGGAGCCTGGAATTCCTTCCATGTCTCACACATGGGTGACAGGGACCCAAGTATGTGGGCCATCATCTGTTGCTTTCCAAGGCATATTAACAGGGGGATTATTATCTTTTCTCCTTCTTTTGTGATAAGTTTTCCAACACAAATTTAATCTCTATTTCAGACTTCCTTGTAACAATTTCTTTTGTTTGTCAGCAATCTCAATAGTTCACAACACTTAACTTAAATAGGAAACTAAAAATATTTACTAATATTCTCTTCAGTATAACATGTACACTGGAGTTTAATATATGATATCTGGGATATAGCTTATTCTTTATCTTAAAATGAAATGTTAAAGGTATAACAGAAGTTACTCTGAATATAAGAAGAAAAAAGACACTTCAATTTTTAAGGGTGAATTCATGAAAAACAAACAAGCAAGCAAGCATTTTAGACTCTGTTTATGGCTATCTGAAATCCAAGGGTATCATCCATCTCTTAGGGATAAAATCTGACATACCCCTGGCTCCAACAGATTTACCACTGCCATCCATGTTGGTCTCCTCTGACGGAACAGAAGGGTTAAGAGTCTGCCTTTGAGAAGAAAAAGCTTAAAAAAACAAAAGGCACAATCAATAAGGTAAAAATATATTTTATACCTTTAATAATATTAGTATGACATGTTACTCATTTAAGTTACTTTATTACTGAAGTGAACTTCAAATTTTTTGATGAAGAAGTATAACATTAATATAGATAAATACATGAGTTCTATAAAAATTCTGTAGAAAAATGGAATTAAGAGACAGGTTTATTTGGGTACAAAAAATTTTGAAATCCATGCATTATTTTTTCATAATATGCATTTTCCATGAAGTTTTTGAAGATTCCTCATATAGAGGACAAAAAAATTTCAAATATACAGCAAAGTTTCAAAAGACAATTAATGAACATTTGAAATTGCATTGATTTGTTACCTGATGAATTTCTTGCTAAGGTACCAGGATGACTCTCTATTCCTAGAACTGGAGGACCTAAAAATAGATAAGAGAGAAAACAGTCACAGGGTTATAAACCCTAAGTAAATATCCACAGAAGAATCAAAATGGAGATAACCAGACCCATAAGCCATGTTTTCAGACAAGGCAGACAGATTCTACCTTGCTGATAACTGATCATCTCTTCTGCACTGGGTATGTTCTTGAAATGAATATTGGGCTCAAGACAAGTAATGCCCAACAGAGCAAATTAATCGTGAAAGCAACAACTGCACCTCTAAAACCTCTAAAAAATATTTGAAATACTTTAAAAAGACCTTTTAAATATATCAGGCTTGCCTATTTAAAAAGTTATTCAACAATCAAATATATGGAAAATGGCTTCTGAAGTAGAACTAGTTCATATCATATATATAATTTTCATTATAACAAAGTATTATTTCCTTGCAGTTCTTTTCTTGTTAAGCACAGCACCAGTTTCATTTCACAACAGCCACTACACTTACTGTTAATAAGGAGTTCCAGCAGACTCTCTGACGCACTGGCCACAGACAGCTCCAGACAATGTGCAAAGCTGGACAGTGCCTTGCTGCGGACAGTAGGTGCCTTGTCTAAACATCGGTCAAACATGATTTCCTGAACCAAGAACTTATGCTTGATGAACTTCTGATGCTCCAAGGGGACAGTATTATCTGCCTCTCTTTCAGGCAGTTCTAACAGAGCTAAGACAACATCAAGTGTAAAAACTCGGTGTGGGATCTGGAAAGCAAGATCATAAGAATCACTGTCAGACAGGAATAAGAACCGAAGGAACCCTTCTCCTGTATTCCGATGTGTCTGGCATCCAAAGATTCCAAAGCCAGGACCCAAGATCATGCAGACAGATGGTCTACCTTGGAGCTTCGTGAGTATTTGTAAAGCCAGGTGATAAATGCAGCATACTCCCCACAAGGGAGTTTACTGAGCAGCTGCACTAGGGCCTGGGCGGCAGAAGTCCTATACTCAGATTTATCAATCACCTGAAAGAGAAAAAAAGAGAAGCTATCCAGCCAGTATCGACCTACAGGACAACAGAAACGCTTGTGATAATACAGGTTGAAAATCAGTGAGTTAGTACTCCTTTATGACCTTTAAATGTCATATAAATAACTGCAAGTTTTAGGATTCAGATGCCATAGAAATGAACTTACTAAGAAATCTATAAGGGCCAGTGCTGTGGCATAGCAGGTAAAGCCGCCGCCTGCAGGCTGGCATCCCATATGGGCGCCAGTTCGAGTCCTCGGCTGCTCCACTTCCAATCCAGCTCTCTGTTATAGGCTGGGAAAGCAACAGAAGATGACCCAAATCCTTTGGCCCTTGCATCTGCGTGGGAGTCATGGAAGAAGCTCTTGGCTCCTGGCTTCGGATTTGAGCAGCTTTGGCGGTTGCGGCCAATTGGGGAGTGAATCAGTGGATGGAAGACCTCTCTCTCTGTGTAACTCTTTCTTTTTTTTTAAAAAAAGATTTATTTATTTAAAAGTCAGAGTTATACAGGGAAAGAAGAGGCAGAGAGAGAGAGAAAGGTCTTCCATCCGATGGTTCACTCCCCAACTGGCTGCAACAGCCAGAGCTGCGCCGATCCGAAGCCAGGAGCCAAGAGCTTCTTCCAGGTCTCTCATGCAAGTACAGGCACCCAAGGACTTGGGCCATCTTCTACTGCTTTCCCAGGTCATAGCAGAGAGCTGGATTGGAAGTGAAACAGCCAGGTCTTGAACTGGCGCCCATATGGATTGCTGGCACTTCAGGCCAGGGCTTTAACTCGCTGCACCACAGTGCCGACCCCTGTATAACTTTCAAATAAATAAATATATCTTAAAAAAAAAGAAATCTATAAACCCTCAACTCAGAAAAATGCATATATAAATTAGCACAGAATTTCAGAGTTTATGAATTCTTAGGCTCTACAGAGTTCAAATTAAGAATCACTTGTTGAAACGTTAAAATTTATGAGGGGCTGGCACTGTGGCACAGTGGGTTAAGAAGCTGCCTATAATGGTGGCATCCCAGATAGGAGGGTCAGATTGAGTCCTGGCTCTTCTGCTTCTGATTCAGTTCCTTGCTAATGTGTCTGGGAAAGCAAAGATGGCCCAAATGCTTGGGCTCCTGCCACCCATGTGGGAGACTCAGATGGAGCTCCAGGATCCTGGCTTTATCCTAAACCAGCCTTGGCTGTTGCAGCCATGTGGGGAGGGAACCAGCACATGGAAGATTCCTCTCTCTCTATGATACAATGTCTTTCAAATAAATAAATAAAATCTTTGAAAGAAGAACAAGAATTTAAGAGATAACCAGGGAAATTTGAACACTGAAAGCCTAAGGAATTAATGTGTATTTTTTAGGTCTGTTACTATTTTGAGGCCATTTTTAAAGAGTTCTTATGCTTCAGAGATATAGACTGAAATACGATACTTAAAAGGACAGGATGGAATCTGCTTTAAAAAGAAAAAAATCCAGTGTGCAGGTATGTGGAGGTAGGGAAGGGGAATAAATCATCCAAAACTGTCAAAGTGGGTGAGGTGTATGTGGTGGTTCATTCCCTTGAACTCCATGTTTGCATCGAATTTGACATCTTATTTATTTATTTATCTTTTTGACAGGCAGAGTTAGACAGTGAGAGAGAGACAGAGAAAGGTCTTCCTTCCGTTGGTCCCCACCACAAATGGCCACTACGGCCAGCTGCGCCGATCCGAAGCCAGGAGGCAGGTGCTTCTTCTTCCTGGCTCCCATGCGGGTGCAGGGCCCAAGCACTTGGGCCATCCTCCACTGCCTTCCCGGGCCACAGCAGAGAGCTGGACTGGAAGAGGAGCAACCGGGACAGAATCCAGCGCCCCGACTGGGACTAGAATCCCGAGTGCCGGTGCAACAGGCGGAGGATTAGCCTAGTGAGCCGCGGCGCCGGCCGTGGCATCTTATTTTTTAATAGAATACTTCACCTAGGAGAACATCTCTTACCACTTTTAGTAATGATGCAGACTCACTTCCAAGAGCAAATACATATACAAACACACACATTTCTCTGCATATATTATTTGCTGACATATTATTATTATTACTAAGGCAAATGGTACCTTGGCACAGATGTGTTGCAGTAAGATACGAAGAACTGGGAATACACTTTCCTTCAGTTCATCCACAAGTGAGCTATTTGAAAGAAAAGCACAGGCACTGTTTACAATATGACTATTATTAAAACAAAACAATAATTCTCCTTGACTGTTCTCAAAAACTACCACCCTTGTATTATAGAAATTCTAAACATTAAAAGCAATCTATATCCATATTACAAGAATTGTTTAAACAAAATAAAGAGTAAAGATAGAATGTGTCGTAGTAGAAAACTGTTAAGGTTCCTCATATGCGCAATTTTAGATAGCTGTCACTGGGTGGTCAAGTCTTCCACAAAAAGCAAATGTGATTTTCTTAAGGCTCATTAGGCACTTACTAACTTTTACAGTAAGATGAAAACATATCCTTTTGGGATACAAACAAAAATAAAAATAGAGCAAAGCACAGTACCACCTGGTGGTAGCTCTGTGAAATGCTGCTACTCTAATGTATTTGCAGTATTCTACAAACTTTAACCCAAGAACAATTTATGGGCGCCAGTTTGTGTCCTGGCTGCTCCTCTTCCATTCCAGCTCCCTGCTAATTGCCTGGGAAAGTAGAAGAAGATGGCCCAAGTGCTTGGGCTCCTGCACTGAGACCCAGAAGAAGCTCCTGGCTCCTGACTTCCGACTGGCTCAGCTCTGGCCATAGCGGCCATTTGGGGAGTGAATTAGCTCCCTCTGTCTGTAACTCTGTCTCTCAAATAAACAAATAACATGTTAAAAAAATAATAAAAAATAAAGAACTTACTAGAATGAGCAAATTTGATTCTTTTTTTTTTGGACAGGCAGAGTTAGACAGTGAGAGAGAAAGACAGAGAGAAAGGTCTTCCTTCCATTGGTTCACCCCCAAAATGGCTGGTACGGACGGCACACTGCGCCGATCTGAAGCCAGGAGCCAGGTGCTTATCCTGGCCTCCCATGCGGGTGCAGGGTCCAAACACTTGGGTCATCCTCCACTGCCTTCCTGGTCCACAGCAGAGAGCTGGACTGGAAGAGGAGCAACCAGGACAGAACTGGCGCCCCAACCAGGACTAGAACCTGGGGTACCAGCACCGCAGGCGGAGGATTAGCCTAGTGAGCCGTGGCGCTGGCCCAAATTTGATTCATTTTTAACACTAAGTTTACTTGTACCATTTTGTGAATATTGTTGCAACTGGCACGATGATGAATTCTCATGGGAAACCAAAGCTACAGTGTTTCCACTTACATCATCTTAGTTATTTAATGCTTGAAAAAATCCTTAGGGAGAGACATTGCCTCAGATCTGCAACCACACTATATACTGTACATTCCTACAGGTATGGAGATACCATATACACCTACTTACTACTACCCCCACACTGAATGACCAGTAATCAGTAAAGGAGAGAGAAAAGCTAATGTCACAGCAACTATGTTCTTCCCAATAAAGCTAAGACTTGGGGTTTTACTTATGTACATGTTTGTCTGCTAACCCACTCCTAAGTGTCCATAATGGCCAGGGCTGGACTGGGCTGGGAACACAATCCAGATCTTCCACACGGGCAGCAAGAACTCAATTACTTGAGTAATCAAGTAACTGCTCCTCTCAGGATCTATCTGCATTAGCAGGAAGCTGGAGTCAGGAGTCACAGCTGGGAATCAAATACATAAGCCAAACACCGGCTCCCAGGCACAGAGGTTTTTTTTAAGTGAAGCTGAGAGATTTAAGAGGGTAAAATCAGTCTATCAGTGATTGTTAAGAAAGGAAAAAGTAGCTTAATCCTCTCCTTCAGTAAGTATTTTCTGTGAGGGGACAGGAATAGAAAAGCGAGAAAACCAAGGAAAGAGTGGCAAAGAGTTGCAAAGTAGAGACAAAGAAAAGCAAGAGGCAGACTTGCTGGAGTGGTTAACACTACAAAAGGGAAAGAAAGGTGACTGTCCTGAGAAGCTGCCCCACAGGCTGGATGGATTTGACCTGGAGGCGGGCTCTGGCCCAAGACTTGCAGGCCCTTTATCTCTCTAACAGTGCCTGGACACAAGCACTACCAGGAGTGACCACATGAACCACAGTAGCTACAAAGGGGTTTGTTTTGACTCCCACAAATCACCATCAGGCTAGATATTCCAACTCCCAAGGTATCAGAAATCTTGTTAGCATAAAGCCCAGATGACTGAGGGAGAGTAAGAGAGTAAAAATTCAGCATCTGTGTGCCTCACCTGATAAACTGGACTGCTTGATTTCTTCGACTGATGACTTGTGAAGTAACGGCAAGTGGGGCACGATGAGATCCTTCACCTTCTTCTAACATTAATATGACATTTAGCAGTTGATGGAAGATACAACTGATAACCTAGAAAAGGAAAGAAAATTCAATTTAACAAAAAGAGAATCCAAGGCCTTCAAAGACAGCTATGAAGACTAAACTAGTTCAAGCCCTCTGAAGGAAGCCAGGTTAACAAAATTTCTGGCTGAATACTAGGGACGTGCTTCCTGGACAATTTCAGCTATTCAATCAATACACAATGTAAAAGAACTGCTTATAAACAATAGTGAGAACACTGTCTTCTTTCTCGCCCCACCCCTGCATGGTATAACCCCAAATTGTGGGCAAATGGGGAACTGTCACTTACAAATGGCAACAAATGCTACTACCATTCCCTTATTTAAAAAGGAGTTAGACCATTATCATACAATTGTGTTTTACCTAAAGTTTAAAAAGCCCCTTCTGATATATTATCTCAAGTAATTCAGCTGATTAGTTTGTTCACTCAGTAAAACAAACTTCTACTGAAAACCAAGTATTAGGCCGGCGCCGCGGCTTAATAGGCTAATCCTCTGCCTTGCGGCACCGGCACACCGGGTTCTAGTCCCGGTCGGGGCCCCGGATTCTGTCCTGGTTGCCCCTCTTCCAGGCCAGCTCTCTGCTGTAGCCAGGGAGTGCAGTGGAGGATGGTCCAAGTGCTTGGGCCCTGCACCCCATGGGAGACCAGGATAAGCACTTGGCTCCTGGCTTCGGATCAGCGCGGTGCGCCAGCCGCGGCGGCCATTGGAGGGTGAACCAACGGCAAAGGAAGACCTTTCTCTCTGTCTCTCTCTCTCACTGTCCACGCTGCCTGTCAAAAAAATTAAAAAAAAAAAAAAAGGAAATTAAAAAAAAACACAAGTATTTGGTAGCTTTTACATTAAATATTTCCATATATATATAATATATACACACACACGAGATTTTACTATATTTCAGTCACAGAACTATATGATATAAGTAGGATGTGACTAATTCACATTTTATAAAAATAAACTCCAAAATTAGGCTGTCCATAATAATTAAAGATCTGGCTAAAACTGAGACTGGACAACGTCAAATCAATACTTTCCCAACTTAAAAAATACGACATTTTTAGAGTGACAGTGAATGTAAAAGGATGCATTTTACCATCCATTTTATCTTTTCAGATTTTAAAAAGGGTCTCAAAATTATTTATTAATTAAAGATTTATTTACTTATTTGAAAGGCAGAGTTACAGAGAGAGAGAGGGAAAAGAGCTAGAGAAATCTTCCATCCACTGATTCACTGCCCAAACAGCCACAATGGCTGGGGCTTAGCCAGGCTGAAGCTAGGTGCTTCATCTGAGTGTCCCACACAGGTGGCAGGGGCCCAAGTACTTGGGTCATCTTCCACTATTTTCCCAGGCACATTAGCAGGGAGCTGGATTGGAAGTGGAACAGCCAGGAAGTGAACTGGAACCCATATGGGATGCTGGTGTTGTAGGCAGCAGCTTAATGCACTGTGCCACAAAACTGGCCGGAAAAAGGGCCTGGAAATTACAGGCACTATTCTGAATTCTATCACATTCATATTTCAAACACATGGAAATGACAGATATAATAAACTATAAAATATCAACCACTTGCTAAACAATATGCATTCTGGTCAGCATTTGACACATCTAATTTCATTTAATACTGTGACAGACTTAGACTTCATCCTTTTTGTTCAGATATGAAATATGAGGCTTTCATAGAATGAGTAACTCAGACAAGGATACACTGCTAATGAGTGATGGAGCCAGAACATGAACAGAGATATGCAAACCCCAAAATCATTGTCATTTAAAAACTATTATTTATTTACTATTTATTTTTTGGGGAGGAAGACAGACAGACAAGGGCTCCAATTTGGCTGGTTTATTCCCCAAAAGTCTGCAATTGCTGTGATTGTCCGTCTTTCAAATAAACAACAACAAAAAAATTTTTTTAAAAAGCAATTTAGGGACAAAATCAGGTATCAGTGCTAACTGGGAATGATAGTCTGTACAATTTCTTTAGAATATCAACTTAAGTAATACAAATACTAATAGAGACACTGAAGCACACATGACTTGCCCAGGGAAACCTGACAATTCTGTCTCTTCTACTCTTTAGAATGATGTGGTGAGTATTTCTTAAAATACTGTTCTGTAGCTTATCTGCTCTTAATTCACATTGGAAACATTTTTTTGTTTGAAACCTAACAAATAATTTGCTAGGGCTCCCAAGTATTTGGATATAAATTTGGTATTACAGAGTAGCTAGCAAACAGAAATTGTGATGGTATTTGTTGTACAAATAGTACAAGGTCATGACAATGTACTACTAAATAGTCACTACTTCATATGTTTTAATGCCTTCTCATTGTATGCTGCATTTGCTTGTAATCCAAGCAGTAGCTAAACTGGAACCTATTTCTTTTACCTTATCTCCTCCATGGATTGGGGAACACAGCAAATACAATCCATGATAGGCCAGCTCTGGAATATATTTTACTTGGTGGAGGCTTCTAAAGAAAAAGAAAAGATGAATATGATTCCCTTTGGGATAATACTTAACTCTACAAACAATATTAAAAGGCATAAATTCTAACAGTGTGTCTATCAGTATCAGACAACATTTATACTTCTGGAGGAAAATTATTATATTATATTTAAATTGTAGCAATGGCTTACCTGGTTTGGGTAACACAAAATTCATGGGGAACTGGCTCAAAATTAGTTAATGCAACAAAGACCTGTAAAACAGATACCAAGAAAAGGTCTGACTTTTCCTACTCAGTAAGTATTAGCCATCAACTCTGCCCAAAGTTCCTGGAATTGTCACTTACTTCTATACAATTCTGTATACACTGTGGCTTTTCTTTCAGGGAAAACTTGGGCAGAAGCCTCAAAAAATTCTTCAAAAGGTGAAAGATGGCATTTCTAATTTGTGAAAGGTCCCGGGCAGAAAAACAAATATTCTCCTCCTCATCTTCTTCTTCTATAGTTTCATCCATCTAGAGTATGAACAAATGTGGAGGCAACTATTTAGTAATACCCTGTGCCAAAGATTTCAGTCCAGTTAAACTCCAGATAGGAGCTGAGTCACTGAAGTGACCTGACTTTAAGCCCCCTGACTGGTGGAAGTCTCCATGGCTACAACGGTAAATCAATCTGCCACTGCACTTTTTGGTCACCAAGAATTCCTTTGCTTCTTAGAAGTTTTGATGTCAACAAACCTCTATCATCCCACCTTGTCACAAAAGAATCTGGAATTAACGTAATTCTATTATGGTCTTACAGTCATAAGTACTCAGGACACTTCAACCATTCTCTCTAATGACAATAAGACAATGTGGCAAACATATCAAGCACACCAAAGAACAAAACTGGGGAGAGATGAGCAAGGAGACTGGAAAAACGGAACCTGGATGCCCAAGAGGCAACTTAGATTAGACAGGTAATGATAGTTTAGGCTCTTTGGTTATAATCATGATGCCCCAAACCATAGTTATATTTAAGAAAAAGACAATCTTGAAAAAAATCAAAATCATGTGTTAGCACAGATGTTTGATTATTCCACTTACTTCTTACCTCAATATCCTCTTTCCTGAGTGGTTTCCCTCTTTTTCTGTTTCCCCTTGGATTAGTCTGAGAGCTCTTAGGCTGCTCTTTCTTTCTTTTCCGACTCAAGTTAAATTCTTGGGGCCAGCTCTTCTTTAGGATCTGAATGCATTTGTCAAACATCACTGGGTGGAAAACTTGATTGGCTATACTGCCTATTCATAAAAAGTAAACAGTAAACAGATTAATTTTAATTATTTAGAAATATATCTGTAACAACAGATTTTAAAAAAAGTTAAAAAGTAAGAAAACATATTTTTCACTAAGGCTGACTAACAGTGAACTTTTAGTAAAAAAGTATCATTTTCAACTTCAGCCTTAGGGGTGAGCAACAGTGCCTCATCAGAAATAAATACAGTTATGCACTATATTAACAATGTTTCAGTTAATGAAACAGGCCCATAATGGAGGTTCCAGGAGGTTACAATGGAGCTGAAAAATTCCTATCACATAGTGATGTGACAGTCAACTTGTGACATCATAGCCATGATAAAGCCGACTACAACACATGACTTCCAGGTGTGGTGATGCTGATGTAAACAATGCTGTCATGCCAGTCACATAGACAGCACAATTATGTATAATACATAACACTTGATAACGATGATAAAAGTCTATGCTAATAGTTCATGTATTTACTTTTTAGCATTATTTCACAGTACATTCATATAAAAAAAAAAACAAAAAAAGTTGAGGGTAGGGGCCAGCAGTGTGGCACAGCCTAGGGGCGCCGGTTCAAGTCCCAGCTGCTCCACTTCTGATCCAGCTCCCTGCTAATGTGCCTGAGAAAGCAACAGAGGATGGCCCAAGTCCTTGGGCCCTGCATCTGTTTTTTCAGAGAAAAGTTCAGTTACAAATGATATACTACAGTCAAGCCTCACTCAGCGATGCAGATATGCGCTGAGAAGTATGTCCCAAGTTGACTTTTGTCATTGTGCAAACATCATATAGAGTGCATTTACAGAAACCTGAACAGTATAGGTCAATTACTTGAAGTGTCCTCCTGATGCAGGAAGCATGAGATGGGTGAGACTGCTGCATGCTATTTTACAGGAAACTTTTAAGAAAGAGTACAGTTCTAAATAACAATAAAAGGCAAAACACAGTGAACACATAAACCAGTAACAGTCATTTATTACCAATTATTACATATGGCACACAATTGTATGTGCTATACTTTTATGTAGTAGACTGTTTACACCAGCATCACCACAATAGGTGAGTAACACATTGCACAGTGCTGTTATGAAGGCAATGATGTCACCAGGCTACAAGACTAGTGATTTCATTTCCATCATCATCTTATGGGACTACTGTCATATGTGTAGTCTATCATTGACCAAAACATATGCATGCATGATTATTTAGCAACTACGTTCTTTAGGAACTTACTTCAGAAGTCATCATGAGAGATTAATAATAATATAATTCAGTTTTCAAGGCTTTAAATATCTTTTTACCTGTTTCCAAACCATACAGAAGAGATTTTTAACATTTATTATGAGCATTCATATAAGTAATGACAAGTTGCCTATTCTGTAATTTTCTTAAACATAAGAACATTGGGTTCTTCAGCTCAATCTCTATGCCTTGGGTTTGGAGTAAGGAGGAGGATGGTAAGGATGCCTACAGAAAGAACATCAACCGAAAGAAGCAGCACAGTGCTCATAAATCCTCTATTCTAGTGCTTTCTTTTTTCAGTTATTAGCTACTCTCATACTTTCTTGAATAGAAGGTTTTAATCTGTTTTTCTTTTTCTTTTTTCTTTTTTTTTTTTTTTTTGACAGGCAGAGTGGACAGTGAGAGAGAGAGACAGAGAGAAAGGTCTTCCTTTGCCTTTGGTTCACCCTCCAATGGCCGCCATGGCCAGCGTGCTGCGGCCGGTGCACCCACGCTGATCCGATGGCAGGAGCCAGGTGCTTCTCCTGGTCTCCCATGGGGTGCAGGGCCCAAGTACTCGGGCCATCCTCCACTGCACTCCCAGGCCACAGCAGAGAGCTGGCCTGGAAGAGGGGCAGCCGAGACAGAATCCGGGGCCCCGACCAGGACTAGAACCCGGTGTGCCGGCGCCGCAAGGCGGAGGATTAGCCTAGTGAGCCGCGGTGCCGGATTAATCTGTTTTTCAATACCCACACAGGAGACATCTAACACAATGACTCCCCACAGCAGTGTTTCTGAATCTGGGAACAGGTAGTCAGCAGAAGACAGGGCAATATCAGAATTTTATCCTAGAGTTGCGGAGTGTGGGTGGATGGATCACTTGCAGTTTAAAACTCTTCCCATTAAGCCTATCCCTTTCTAATTATTTCTATAAGGTTATGAACACAGCATAATTTCAGAAAACAAACACAAATAATGCAAAAGTGGAAAGATTCTTTTCAAACACCTGTAATATGCCATGTTCTTGCTCTCATTTAATCCTCCCAACAACCCCATAAGATGGGTTACCACTTCCTCATTTTATAAGAAGCACAGTGCAAGTACTGAAAACAATGCAGAAGAACAATGACAAAAGGATTGTTTTAGCCTACTGAGGATGGCCATCCCTCTGTATCTGCAAGGAGTTTCTGCTAGATTCCCACCCCTTAACAAATTCATGGATGCCCAAGTCTCTTATATAAAATGCCACAATATTTGCACAGCACCTATGCACAGTCCCCTGTATACTTTAAATCATCTCTACATTATTTCTAATACATAACATAATGTAAATTCTATGTAAATAGTTGTTTTACTGAACTGTTGGAACAACGACAAGAAGAAAAAGTTCATACACTTCCAGTGCAGTCAGCCATCACAGAGATGACCACCTCGTACATGTCAATATAACATCTTTTTCTGAATATTTTCAATTCACGGTTGGTTGAGCCCATTGATAACAGAGGACCAGTTGTATACATACCTGGTATTTCTAGTAGCAAAAAATAAAGTCCAGCAGCATGAAGGCCATACTCTCGGTATTGTACACTGATACTTCTCTTATGGACTATTTGAACAAAGTGATAGAATAATGCCACCAAAGCACTGTGGGAAATATTGTTCTCAATGAGGAAGGTCCAAATGCTCTGGGGGAGAAGGTAAATTACAAAAGCTAGAAATTAGAGAAATGGATAAATCATCTTTTTTTTATTTGTACACATACTTAATACCTTACACAAACAGGAAGAGACCAAGCTGGCTCCTAATGATAAATGCATGCCATCTTTAGAAGACTAAAACAAAAACATCAAACTTAAAAAATTATAAAGTAAGTAAGCATGTAAGAAATGTATTCAATTTTCAGGAAAAAAAATCTTTTTGCAGGTTTGAAGCACATATGTTTCTCAAATTGTTATGGCTTAAAACTACATTAATACTTTTGGAATCTCTTATATTAGTGATTACTTAGAAAAGTTACTCCTTTATCTATGTTAAATGTACCTGAATCCATTTATCACTAATTACTGATGAAATCTGAGAAATTTCTTTAAGCTTGACTGACTTATATTTGAAAGGCAGGGTGACAGAGAGAAGGAGAGAGAGAGAGAAAGAGAGAGAGAATCTTCCATCAGCTGGTTTGTTTCCCAAATGCCTATATGAGCCAAGGCTGGGCCAGGCCAAAGCCAGGAGCCAGGAACTCCACCTAAGTTTTTCATGTGGATGACAGGAACCCAAGGACTTGGACCACCATGTGCTGCCCCCAGACAGGAAGAAGGATCAGAAGCAGGGGCAGGACTCAATCCCAGGCACTGTGAAATTGGATGCAGAAGTCTCAAGTGGCAGTTTAACCTTCTGTGCCACAATGCCTACCCCAAAGCAATTTCTAAATGTTCTACAGATCATGGGCAATGGGAGCAGCAAAGTAAACTCCTGAAAGTTCCTCCCTCAGAAGTTTGCAAAGGTAACCTGGGTGAGAGGAAATAAACCCTAGAATAGAAACCAGTTTTACTAATGTTATTGTCATTCCATGCTTTCTCCTAATAAACATAGAAAGAGGATATGGGTTATTCTTTTTAGTATATGTACTGCTGAAGTGAACTCAATATAGATTATGCTTATAAATTAAACCCAGCTAAATATGGCTTATTCTTGGGTGTCTTTAAAAAAGCAAAGAGTTACAAAATTCAAGAAACTAGTCTTTGAACTTACTGCTTCTTTGAAAAGACAGAGAATGCAGTAGGTACTGGCAGAAATTACCCACAATTTGTACCATATACCACCTTGGCACCCTCCTCTCCTTCATTAGGAAGTTTCGGCAAGAAGTATCATCTTCTTTACAGCTACCACATCCTTAGTATCATCTTTTTACAGCAATCACATCCTGCTAAGGCCACTTGCACCTACACTTGTCCAGCCTGGACCACCCAATCACTGGGGCTCCATCTGATTGTCACTTTGGCAAGGCAGAATTTCTCCTTTCAGAGAATTCTTCTCCTGGTCTTCCATTCCATATTTATAACTACCTCTTATACCTCCCAAGTGTCTCCTAACGCAGTGCCACATGCCAAAGCTTACAAATGGAACTGATAATTTTCCCGCTTGATGTTGCTCTTTCTCCCATACTGCTCACCTAAGGTTAACAATATCCTCTTCCTCCTACTGTTGAAATCTTGGGGATCTCTGACTTCTTTCACTTATTCTCTATACCCAATACCCAATTAATTTAGCACTTAACACCATCCCTTAGGTATATGATAAAGGCTGCCTGGTTCACAAAACCCTATTAATTCTACATCAAAAAAATGTCCCTAGTTTTTACTTTTAGTTTTCCATCCTGGTTCTCATAATTGTAACTCCAGACTGTACCGTTAATATTCTTAATACCTAGACTACCATAATAGTCGCCCCAAGCCATCTCCCTACGTACAATCTTTTCCCCCACTTCAGTCAACCTTCAGTCAAGAACATTTGTCCTAAAACATATTCGTTCACATGACTTAAGTCTTTTGTGCACTGTAATCTATTCCACCCAGGGCCAGCTGGAAGGATTAAATGAGTTAATAAACACTTGATGCTTACATGAGAAAATCATACAGTGAATACCCTATTAAAATATGCAAATCCCAAAGTCAAACCCCACTTAAAGCTACTCATGATCTACTCTTAGTCTGTGTCCCACCGTGAGTTGAAAACTCTGCATGCACTCATACCACACTACTCACAATTCTCTCAACACTCCCTGCACATCCACTGTGGTTCCTTCACCAGAAATGCCATACAACCCTAACTTCTGCTTTCAACACTCTACCCATCTGTCAAGATTCACCTCCCACCTTTTCCTCTTCCCAGATCATGCTGTATTCCTTTTTCTAAGGCCCTATTAGAGGACACCAGCACTTCTCTTAGAGCATTTTTTACAATGTGGCTCACTATTTTAGGACCTCTAGATGCTAGCGCTAGATGACTAGCTTAATTTATTTTATTTATTTGTTTATTTTTACCTCTGTGGATCCGTGTTCTTCAGTGGCAAAGGGGAAAAGACTTTCATAGAGTTTTGTGAATGCATTCAATCCAGTCTCTATGATCTCTGCTTCTATGTTGGGATCCAAAGGCTCAGTCTCTGTGAAGTCCAGTTCCCATACTGTATCCACCCATTCTAGGGGAAAATGCAATGAATTTAATGAAATGCTATATAGCAACTCAGGATTGATTACTTTCATCAACTGATCACTTTTAGACACAAGGCACATTCAAGAGAAGAAAAGTTTATTAGACACAATTCACATTTAAATGTAACAATACAGGTTTAGCATAAAGAACAGTAGAATAGAACTTTTTCTTTCTTTTTTAGAATCAACTGACATTTAGCTATTAAGTTAGTCACCCTCCAAATACACCAAAATAGAACACTTTTTAGATACTTTTAGGGACTGACACTTGACAACACTTGATCCTCAGGCTTCTCCATGTTTTCCTTCAGGAGAAGAAAGAGAGGTTAATCAAAGATGGCTGAAGATGCTTCTCCTCCGAAACTCATAACCAAGACAATACACCCACGCCCTTGGACAGTGATGCTGCATGTTACAAGAGTTTCAACTACAGGAGATGAGCCAGACTCAACACCACAGAAATACTCAGTGATGCCCAAATGCACAGATGAAAAGAATGCACGATAATGACAGTAATGCAGTGTCCTAACTGGATTCCTTGCCAATCTCATGCTCTCTGACTTTTCTAACAAATTATTTCTTCAGTGTTTTTGTTATTTTCCTAACATTCCCTAAAATTAGGACTGGATGGAAAGATGTGGACATTTTGGACAAGTAAATCATCAAGTGTGTTTTCAAATTAATATTCTTCAAATATCTGTTGATCACTGATTTGAAAGCAGGGTGTGAGAGACAGATGGCTTCAACATTTCTTGCATAGCTCTGAGCACTATAGTGCACTCAGCAAATGAACAGTCTTACAATTATCCAACTCCATTCTCCTTAGAACACAATCTACCTATCCTATCATAATCCATCACTGGAGCTTGACTCTGGAGGACAAAGTCCTTGCATCTCAAATGGCTTTCATAGCCTTCTTGCCAAAGACAAAAAATATGCTGCCTGAAAGAAGACCTGAAAAACCTAAGTGCATCTCTCTCTATTTCCAGTGACTTTTTCTGCAGTAAAGTGTTATTTCCAAAAGTATAATTGGCTGGACCTGTTACGTACCTTCACCAGTAGCTGGGGCATTTCCAGTCTTGGTGTTTCTAGTGTAAATTAATTGAGCTCTGTGCTTTAAAACCACTTTGCTAAGTCCTTTACTCAGGAGCTCCTGAAGGGTTCCCTAACCAGGGAATCTCAAATCTTTAGTCTCTCAGAGACCACAGTTAGGGTTATAAGCTTGTAGCTGGGAATTTTCTTAGAAGTCGTTATAAGCAGCTCTGTCAAACAGGATCAGTTTGCTGAGTTTGTCCTGAACTTTGTCTTTGGATCACTTTCTCTTTGAGGCCTTGCCACAAGATTTGTTCATGGGTCTTTATCTTTCTTGACTTACTTTCTGTTGTATCTCTTCTTCTTGGCCTTGGAAGGGTGGTATTACAAAGTTTGGACAGCAGCAACCACTGCAGCCTTGCTGAGATGTCAGGAGAAAGCTCCAGTAATGTTCTCATGCACATTGTAGATGAGAGCAAAACATCTCATTTCTTATTTTGGCTTTGTTCACAACTACTCTCTCCACTACTTTATTACTCTCCCTACTACTCTACTCTCTACAGTAGCATCAACCTAATTAAAAAAAAAAACAAAACTTATTTATTTACTTGAGAGGAAGAATTAGAGGGAGGGAGAGACACAGAGAGGTCTTCCAGTCTCTTAGTTCACTCTCCCAATGGCCCCAACGGCCGGAGCTGGGCTGATTTGAAGCCAGGAGCTTCTTCCAAGTCTCCCATGCAGGTACAGGAGCCCAAGCACTTGGGCCATCTTCTACTGCTTTCCCAGGCCATCAGCAGGGATGCTGGATTGGAAGTGAAGCAGCCAGGACTCAAACTAGTGTCCATATGGAATACTGGTGCTGCAGGTGGATGCTTAGCTTATCATGCCACAGCACCAGCCCCCAGTATCAACCTCCATTGGAAGGCATTAGCTAGCCCTAATTTCTAGTCCTCCTAAAATCATCAGTATGATTTGAGTCACTTCATTGGTGACACTCTTGAGCCTCTACAACCTCACTTATAAGATGTAGGTAATAATGCCTATCAAGTGTTCTAATGGGAAGACCTATTATGTAATGAATGGCAAGACGTCAAGATGAAGGCAGCCAGCAGAAAAGAAGGAAAGGGGGGAAATGGCCACTTCTGTTTCACTCTTCACAGACTTAATACTTGTAAAACACAACTTAAAAGTGATAAATTCTATACACTGACTTTTTTTGTTTGTTTCTTTCTTTCAGGGAACAGAAAAAAACTGCAAAGATTTTAACAGCAGACCATCTTGGCCTAGTTCACCGTCACAAGTGTTCAACGAGAAGATAGTTTGGGGACAACAGATTAACCATGTACAATGTTTAGCATCTCATGGGAGTAAATAAAGTCATATGAAACCAAGGATTAAGGTAAGAGAGGGAAAATCTTGGAAGAGAAGCAATTTTGGTATTGAGGGACAAAACAAAGATGAGGTTCTGCTGTTCCTTAGGTTCATCCCAAGGATGCATAGGAGAAAAAAGTCTATTAATCCTGCAAAAGGAGATGCTAGAACAGACCCAAAAGGTAAAGACATTCTACCTGCTGTGGCCAAACAGCAATTGGGTAAAATAAGACCTTTCTCCTACAAATCCACCCTCCAGGTTCTCAAGAGACTCATTTCCACCAGGTTCTGACAATTTCCCCACTTTTTTCAGTCTTTCTATCAATTTTATCTGTATTTACACAAGTGACAAGAGAGAAGCCCATAATGTGTAATTTCTAAGGTCCATGAAATCCTAGGGACAGCTGCACATATTCCAAGCAGAAGATGTTAACAGGAGGGTCTCGATTCAAGAATAATCTTTAAAAAGGGACTCGAATGAAGAATGATGGTAGGTCTGGGAATCAATGAGAAAAGCACTACAGGATGAGTGGATACTAGACATTCCAGCTTAGAAGAAATCTTCCCAAGGACTTGAATTTAACATGCTTTAGTTAATGACTCATTCACTCAGTTTCCTAGTCACTCTACTAAAACACCACAAATATGTTCCTCCCTCCCCCCACAAAAAAAAAGTGTCTCTGCGTGTTTTCCCGCCTCGGTCTTTCATAGTTTTCTGCTTGGTTCATATACACATTTTAAAACCCACATCAGTACTTCTGATCTCATTACTGGATCACAACAATGGTCCAAATGCATAAAGAATAGACCTGGCACTCTGTTACTGACCCTACTTTTACATGGCTTTAGACTTCCATCAAATCACTTAATCCTCACTACCTATTTTCCCAACTGTCAAATGGAGATAACTCCTGCTCTACCCACCTCACTTAGGATGGAAGAAGTGAATTAGTCAGTCAACAATCATTAAGAAGACTGTGTTAAGTTCTAGGGATACAAAAGTGAATACTAGAAGATTCTTGTCCATCAAGATCTCACCATCTAACACTTACAATAAGAAACTAGGGTTATGATAGAAAAAAGACCAGCAAATTTGAGTCAGACAGAGTAAGACTAATATACTCTGAGTATGCGCCTCTCCTTCATCACAGGTATTACAAGACTCTTGACAAAAATAATGTGTAAGACACCCAATAAGTGAGAGCTATGAGTATTATTTGTCAATGGATGAATGTGAAATTCGTAACAGACATAGAATGCAAGCTGTAAAATAAGAGACGGTACAGTAGGAAATACCAGTACTACAGCAGAAGGAATAGAGACGGGGAGGATGATTCTTCAACCGAATCAGAAATCGAGTGTTTGCCTGGGGAAAGAAGTGCAGAAACGTGCATCCCAGGTGGGGAGCACAGCATGACAGAGTACAGCAGGACATGCACAGTGCTGAAAAAGGAACAAAATAAATACGGCACAGAGTTTGAACTGAGTATTTATCCACCAATGATTACGTGCCAGGTTCTGGGTTCACCCCTGTAACTTCATGAGGTAGACATTATAACCCCCGTTTGACAGATGAAGAAACTGAGGCTGAGCAAGCTCAAAGCAAGCTGCCCGCAGATACCTGCACGCTAAACGGACCCAAATAACTCCGGGAGACTCAAAACCGCATTCGCCAAAACGGGAAGTTCCCAACACACGCACATGCCCTACCTCGTTGCTTATCTTTGAAAACGCGATTTTAAGCTTCAAATAGGGTCACCATTTTACAACACCTCGGACACCTCTTCAAGGTTGCGTCAGTTTTTTTTTCCCCCAGACTGCACTCCTAACTAGACTCGAATCAATGCGATCCTTCTTTGTCCTCGCCCAGCCGGGTTTTAGGCTCGAGGTACGGTCACTTGACAGTTCCTGAGGTAAACCCGGCAGGCCACGGTCCTGAGGTGGCACGACCCCAGGAAACCCAGACAACACCGAGGGCCCCGAGCCGCCTCCCCGGCCCTGCCCCCGGGACGCGCGCCTGCGTCTGCTCACCGAGGCTGAGATCCACCGGGCACCACGGCTGCAGGCCGCTCTCCAGGCCCCGCAGCGCCTCCATGATCCCCAGGCGCCGCGCGCCTCCGCGGGGCTCAACTTTCAAAGCTCGCTCCCGCGCGCGCTCCGAGACGTTCCTGCGGGCCAATCACAACGCACGAAATTTCCCGCGACCAATCAGCGCGCCGAGTCGTTCTCGCAGGCGTCACCACTCAGCTGGGTCGTCAGCCGCATGCGCAAAAGAAGGGGCGGGCTGCGGACGCGGCTTTTTTTTTTTTTTTAAGCCCGTTAAAGTAAGGACCCGGAACTAGGGGAAAGCTTACTTCGTCCTTCCTGCCTCATTTTCCATAAGAGTCCCTGTCACGAGAATTTGGAACAGGGTGCTTTCTGTAATAACTATCACCCTTGCGCTCTGTCAAGTGGTATTTCGCGTGCGTGTCAAAGGGCGCTTTGCTCCGTAAGCTTATCTGAATGTGGACGGTAGCCCAACGTTTATAGAGTTAAAACGACAATGGAAAAAGAACCAAAAACATTTCGAGAGGACAGCTGCAGTTCTGATTTCGTAGCTCGGCTGGGCCCTAACTTAACTGGAATGAGGCCTTGGCTGCCATGTCAAGGAAGGGAAAGGCCGGCCTCCTTTTGTCGCACATGCGCAGTGAGCACACCGCCTGGCGGCCTGGAGGCCGCAGCGAGGGAGAGGCGTGCGCGCATGCGCGCAGCTTCTCCAGCGCATCCGGGCTGGAGCTGCCCTCCCCCTCCCCCGCCCGAAGCCGCCGAGGCACTTCGGTGGGTTGCACCGCTGGAGGTTGGGCGGCTGGCTGCGCTGCTCGGCGCCAGACCCCACCCGGTGGGCGGCAGGCCGCGCACGCCGGGCTCTGCGGGGGCTGCCCTCCCGGGGGCTGCACGGCAGACCCTCGCCCGCTCCCCGGCGCCATCGCTCGGGCTGGCTCGGGGCTGGTGTGCGCGCTGCGCGGCGCCTCGGTGCTCCGCTGCTCGGGCGCTGCAGCCCGCAGTCGCTGCCTCCCCCGGGCAGCCGGGCAGCTGGCCGTCGCCCACCGCCGAGCCGGAGCCGCGCAGCCAGGCCGCGGCCCTCTGGCCTGCCCACCCCTAGGGCAGCGCGCGCCCCGGACGCAGGAGCGGTCCTCGCCGAGCCCGGCGCGGCCCCCCGCGGGGAGATGAGCTTCTTCGGCTTCGGGCAGAGCGTGGAGGTGGACATCCTGCTGAACGATGCGGAGAGTCGCAAGCGCGCCGAGCACAAGACGGAGGATGGGAAGAAGGAGAAATATTTCCTCTTCTACGACGGCGAGACCGTCTCCGGCAAGGTGAGCCTCGCGCTCAAGAACCCCAACAAGCGGCTGGAGCACCAGGGCATCAAGATCGAGTTCATCGGGCAGATCGGTGAGTGGCCGGCCTGCCCCTGACCCTCACGCAGGGCAGCCCCGGGGCCTGGGCTTCGGCCTCCCGCGCGGCCGGGCCTCCCCGCGGGGTGACAGCGCGCCGCCGGGGCTGGGGACCGAGCGCCCCGAGCTCGCTCGCTGCTGGTGCCAGCCCAGCCCCTGGCACATGGCCGCTGACCCCGGGATTTCGCAGGCAGGTGCTGGCGCGGAGCCTGCAGGTGGGTGTGTAGGGCGAGCATGCTGCCCGCAGCAGGGAGACCCTTAGTGCAGCCGGGCTCCGCCGCGCCCTGTTCTCTAGCGACGTGGTGTGGGCGCGGGCCCATGCGTGCCCTGTTGGCTCAGCTCGGGCCCGAGCTCCCTAGCCTTGCACGTGGCCGAGAAAGACCTGGAATCCGCAGCCTCCGCCGGCCTGCCTACCTGCCTCGCCCGCGTTTCTCAGACTTTCCTGTTAGTTTTCCGCTGGACTGGTTTTATCCGTAAAGACGGAGAAACAATGTTTCTAGAACGACAATGAACGGAGCCCACATCTGAACGCCCGCGGCCTCTTCAGGCAGTGAGCATCCATCGTTAGGAGGCAGCCAAAGGCAGTAACAGCTAAAAGGCGGTTGGCAGAGCTGCCTGCCCATCAAGGCCGGGGTGCCTGGTATTAAAACACTCAGGTGCTTCTAAAATAGACCCTTTCTGCCATTCAGTTGGAAGGAATTTGCCCGGTAAATCCTCCATGGGCTGCAAACACCCCTGGCAGAGAACACCCTGCCTTGCACGTGCACCGATGTGTTTAAAGACTGGGAAAGTCGCTGGCACCCTGAGCCTGCAGCACAGAATCGGGTCTCCCGTTTCACTAAGGCAGGACACACTGCAACGTAGGCAGGGGAAGCCGAGGTGAAGGGGTCCTGGTGGCCCAACTCTGCAGCCCACACTGCCTCTGCTTACTGAAGCCAGCTGAAATCAGGCTGAAGACGGAGCTAGTCCTGTGGGGTCCTTTATTGTTCTTTGTGCAACCAGAATGTGAGAGGCCCACTCCTGTCCTGGCAAAGGGGCTGAGGAGTGGTCTCTGGCCTCCTGCTCGCTGGACCCCAGGGCTTCTTAGCCAGACGTGCTTCTGCATCAGATGGTAGCAGCATGGCCAGCCTCCCCACCAGGTAACAGGAGGACCCCTCCTGTGACCACAGAAGCATCTTGAGATACACCCCACCCCCAGCACTCCACCAGCAGACAGGAGGAACTCCGGGCATTTTCTGCTAGGGATGACCGTACAAAGTGGTTGAGAAGTTCTTGCCTACCAGGAAATGGCATTTCTGAGTAGTTTTAAAGTTATTGCATCCCTTGTTTGGCTTCATAATGCCAATGTACACAGGAGTGTTTGGTATGTGTCTACACCATCACTCCGAGGTGCTGGTACAGTGCCCCTGTGTGGAAGATAACCCAGAATGGCTCCTACCCCCAACAGCAGGAAATGAACTGCTGGAGGAATGGTGTCAGTGTCCCCCTGGTGTAAACGGGAGGCTGCTGGCTGTGACTGCTCCTCCTGGCTTCCCTTCCGACTTCTTAACCTTCAGACGTCATCCCACTAAGAACTCTTCCTGGGCACTGTGGGCCGAGCTGACCACGGGACTCTGGGAAAGTTAGGCCCCTCTCTGGATCTCAGCTTTCTTAGCTGTACAGCGAGACTAATAAAATTGCCTGGTGAGAGTGTTGAGCATGTCAGGGAATTGTAGATCACGCCCTTATAAAGGATTCCTTTATGAAAATTAGGGCATTCGACATAATGATGTTCCTCTTAACAGATTCAATTATTAGTCACTGGCTTACTGCTCTTCCCCCAGGTCTCTCCAGATGACATTACACTTGCATGTTTCAGCCTTTGCCTTAAAGCTTCTGCTGCAGTCGTGTGGGCCAGTTCCAGCTGCGTGGTTAAAGGACTCTTGATTATTACTCTCCATTATTATGGATACATGAGAGACTAGTAATAGAACAATACAGAGTGACGAGCAAAACGTGTGTTTTTCTTATTTAGCTCTGGGATGTATTCCTTGATCAAGAACAAGGCATTGATGTATTTCCTCTTGATATAAAAGGAAGTTTGTGTTCATGAAACACATGTTGATCCTAAACACACACTGGCCTATTTTCTCTTTTTCCCATTTTATCCTCCTGGTCCCCTACAGAAGCAGGGTGTGACATGTTCGTGTCACACACCTACAGCAGTCACTGTGAATTGACCTCAGGGCACCAGAGCAGAGCTAGAGTGATTTTGCTGAAGTTGCGGTCTTGTGGTTTTCTCCTTCACTGCATTCTTAGACTGTGTGCGAAGTGGGCGGAGCTTCTTCTGTCGGGGTCTGAGGTCTGGCTGTATGGGTGATGTATATGGGGCTAAGAAAGTTGATGTCATTCAGCTGCATCCCCCTTCCGCTCTGACTTTGGACAGGGTTTTGGGAGGCAGGCAGGAAGAGGTGCTAATGTGTGCCCCGTCCCATCTCTCTGTAGCTTGCTCTGGCTGAGGCTCATCTGTGTCCATGACTCCACTGTCTTCTCATTTCTGATTACCCCTAAAACTGTTTCTTGGTCCTGACCCAAACTCCGTTGTGGCTTTCACACCCGTGTTTCCAGTTGCCTGCTGGGCATATCCGCTGGGATCCCCCTCAGATGTGTGTGGCAGTCTCCTTCCTGGCCTTTATGCATTTGTTTTTCTCATGCTCTGTAAGGGTGAGCTTTCTAAAGGGCACCTGTAACATTGTCAGTCTCCTCCTGTAAATTGTTCTCTGTCCTCTGTTTAAAGGGGAAAGTTACGTCCAGCTCCCTCCTGAGTCGATCCCTGCCTCTCTTTCAGGCCTCATTTCTCCCTAACCCTTTGTCTTTACCATCTGCAGCTTCCTCACAATACCCTATCCTTCTAGAATCTTGGCCTCTCCTCTTTGTACGTTGTCATCTTTCTGCAAGGTATGACATTCCACATACCCAAACTGTTATTCATGGCTCCACAGTCGTCAGAAATGTCAGGGCCACCAGAAAGCCTCCCCACACTTGCCCAGGCTGCCTTCAGCTCTTCCTCTAGAGGCTTCATTGATATCTCATCTCAAGCAGGAATTGACAAGGTTCTGACTTGTTTTTTAATTCAGGGACTACCTGCAGCCCATCAGGAGGCTGGTAGCTAATCTCCTGTCTTAGCACATAGAAGGTGCTGAGTAAATGTTTGTTAATGAGATGCAACACTGGTCAGATCCAAGAATTCATAGAAACTATATTTTATTTTCTCTTTTCTCCTCCTAGATATGCCAGTATTATTTTATTTATTTATTTATTTTTAAAGATTTATTTACTTATTTGAAAGGCAGAGCTACAGAGAAGCAGAGAGAAAGAGAGAGAGACAGGTCTTTCATCCACTGGATCACTCCCCAAATGGCCACAATGGCTGGAGCTGTGCCAGTCTGATTCCAGGAGCCAGGAGCTTCTTCCAGGTCTTCCCACGTGGGTGCAGGGGCCCAAGCACTTGGGCCGTCTTCTACTGCTTTCCTAGGCCATAGCAGAGAGCTGGATCGGAAGTAGAGCAGCCAGGACTCAGGTTGGTGCCCATATGGGATGCTGGTGCTGCAGGCAGTGGCTTTACCCACTAAGCCACGGTGTTAGCCCCGCCAGTATTGTTTTAATGAAGGAAGTGCACAGGATGGCTTTCGTAGTTACTGTTCACTAGCTGGGCTTCCTGCTTGCATTGATAAATGGGATGACTCACGACAGGCCTGCGCCCACTGGAGCAGCACCCACCCCGAGTCAGCTGGGGTCAGGAAGCATTAAAGCCCATGGCAGTCGCCTGCTTTTGCAGCTTCCTTTCATCACTCTCCCACGCCACATCGATGCTGGTTTCTCCCTGTACTGGTAGCACATCCCTAATCTGAAAATCCAGAATCCAAATTTGGAGTTCTGCCATGACACTGAAAAAGTTTCAGATTTCAGAATTTTGGATTAGGGGTGCTCAGTTGGTAAGGTCTGTGCAAATGCTCCAAAAATCAAACAACAACAACAAAAAAAGTCAAAAGACCTCTGGAATCTGAGAGATTTCTGGTCCCCAGCCTTCTGGATAAGGAATACTCAGACCTGTGGTCCTCTCAGGCCTGCACCAGCTGCACATTGCTGCAGTTCGAGTGTTTCTCCCCGAGAGTATCAGATCTTACTTAGTTATGTCTCCATGGGACAGACGGTCTAAGACTGGGGCAGTGCACCAGCTAATGGCTCACATCCTTAGTTAGATGCATGGCATTTAAAGAGCACCGAGGGAGGAAGCATAGCTGTTAGAATCAGAGGAGACCATTATGCAGCCAGAATCCTTTGGGGAGCACTGGTGGATGCTATGAGGCATACCTGGATCACCTTAGCAACTAATGCGGTAAGATAAACCAGGCACACAGGAGCATCCCTGTCCTCCAAAACCAAGTAGATATTAGCTTTCATTATTTTTTTTTAAGTTTTAATGAACACATCATTACCACATCAGTCTTGTACTTTTGAGTTTTGTGTATCTCAGTTCAGTAACCCTTGAAATACTAAGTGAGACACACACATTGTGATTCAGTGCGTTGATTCTGGCCTTCTTGATAAGTTGCTGGCCGTGTTTGGAGCAGTGTGTCGCAGAGCAGAGGTGGATACAGGCAGAGGAGGCGTGATTGCACCCACAGACTTAGCAAGAGGCAGGAGATGTGTTGGGGTGTGATTGGTTGGCTCTGCTGGTCAACCAGCAAATGGGTAGGAAAATCAGATGACAACCCCTCGCAGACTTACGTTTCTTCCAAGACTGGCACAAGGCTGGGACTAAATGGGATCCTGGCCCAGCAGCAAGTTTTAGAGTCATGGGATCGGCCTGTGATGCAAATCTGGCTCAGTTTCCTTCCAAAGTGCCAAATTCACTTCTTGGCCATTGGCCGCAAGTTTTACCGTGAAAACTTCCTGAATACAAAAGTTAATTCCTCATGTTGGACCGAAAAGGAAGCTAAGGACTGAGAAGTTACCTTAAATAAACCTGACAGTTCCCCCTTCTAACCTGAAATGTCTGGTCTTGGAGGGCTTTGGTGGTAAGGATGAATTAGGGATGATTTTGTGATTGCTTCTTTAGGATGGAATGGAGGCATTTTATAGTCCTTAGGGGCCCAGAGCTCTTGCTAGCACAGTCTTGGATTTCTATCCTAATTTCTATTCTATTTCTATTCTAATTTAGGTGGGATAAAACCAGATTTTCTGGCAAATAGCAAAGTAGAGCTGCTGTTGCTGTCCCTTTGCTCCACAATGTTTGCCAAAGCTTGTAAATCATAAATTTAAAAGTCTGAGTTAGCCCTGTGCTCTGACCACACACTGCCCCCCCCCCCCCGGGCTCATTAGCAGGGAGCTGGCTCACAAGTGGAGCAGCCAGGACTCAAACCGGCACCCATATGGGTTGTAGGCATCACAGGCAGTGGCGTTACTCATCATCACTGTGCCACAGTGCCAGCCCCCGGCGGCTGCTCTCCCACGGCTATTTACATGGGTGCAGGAGGAGCCATGTAGGAAGAATGTGATGCTGTGCAGGGCAGGACTTCTGCCAGGGGCCCCTGCTGGGCCGGGCAGACTGCTTGCTTCTGCACTGTTGCTAGGATCCTCCAGTGCTGGCTCCCTGAGTCCTCTCTGAGCCCTCCCAGTTTTGTTTATTTCTCACAGCCTTTCCGCTGTGATCTTGTTTGTGTATTTTCCATCCTTCCCATCTTCCTCTTAACGTCGGGATTTCCAACTTTAATTTCATGGACATTGGGGTCTTCCTCTGCCTGCCACTGTTCTTGAAACTGGGGCCAGAGTCCCTTGCTTGGGAACTGAGGTACCGAATCCCCAAGTTAAGGGTTCAGTTCCTATGTAAGTACCAGCACCATGAACACAGGCTCAGGTAGTGAGAGCAGAGGAGCCCTGGGACTGGGACTGGCCCGGGCCCTGTGCCTGCACTGCCCCTGCACTGCCTGCCTTTTACTGGGAGCTGTTACTGGGTTATTCCCATTTCCCCCTGCAGTTGGGAATTGTCATCTCCTATCTCAGGGTTTTGTGGATTATCACTTACTACCCAGAATGCTGCCTGCTGCTAAAACCATTTAGTGTTTGGAAGAAAAGGTACACGTTGTTTGTAATAAAAGATTCATCAGAGTGTGACTACATAGGAAATCAGCCACAAATGTGACCACAGAACACATTGTCAATTCATGCAGAAGTGAAGTTCCTTGTAGGGGATTACCGATGCTCCTACCACCTTCACGGGTTGGAAGAGTATCATGACCGAGTCCTTTCTGCTTCAGAGTGCCCCTCTGTGTAGGGGAGAAGATTTCCTATGGCATAAGCAGGTCGACCAGCGAGTGGGTGGATTTGCACACAGATTGCAAACCACCGTGTCAAACAGTTTTCCTGCTTCTGGGCACGGTCTTTCCATGGAGCTGAGCACTGCTGGCTCTAGAAAGGCAAGCAGTCTCACTTCTTGGGCCAAGAAGACTTTGATTCTAATCAGGCCTCCAGGCTTATGCTGTCTGGGGGCTCCCAAAGTCAGCTGTTCCCCACAACCCCGAGTGTGCAGGTTATATGAGAGAAATCTAGGACCAGCATCATGGGCAGTTGTCCCACGACCCCTCTCTGTGGACCAGTTTCTTTTCTCATAGAAGCAGCAGATGTACTCTGCCTGCTTCATTTTCCCGGTCTTCCCTTCCTGCTGCAGGTTGCAGCCTAGTATAGGACTTGAACCCAGAAATACCCGAGGGGCAGTAGCTTGAACCACAAGATGGCCACATTTCGTCATCACAGCATGAAGTGTCCGTTACTGCAGGGCTCAGTACTGGAGGGTGCCTGGCAGCTGAGGGTATAGGCCTTCGGTGCAGAATGGAAAGAAGCACCTTGTGCTATGTGTAGCAAAACTTAAATAGCAGAACATGAATAGACAGGAAATGATGTAGAACAAGCAGACACCGTGAGCTTACTATAAAGAAATACCAGAACTGTTTCCTGAAGAGGATAGATTTAGAGCAGCACTTTCCCAAGTGTGGTCCCTACTGCCCCAGGCAGCTTATTAAAAGTATAACTCTTCAGGCCCCACCCCAGACCTCTTGAACCAACAGCTCTAGGGACAGGGCCTAGCGTTCTGTGTTTTAACCATCCTGGAGGGGTCCTGGTGCACACTGAAGTTTGAAAACCACTGACTTGGTTGGAGAGAAAAGCATTCAAGCTTCCACGTCAGACGGGCTGCAGACCTTCCTTTTTGAGTGACAGCAGCGTCTTTGTTTTGCATCCTTAGCCTACACTGCCTCCTCTGCTCCTCACCCCTCGTCGTACCCATTCCCAGAAATAGATGCCCCCCAGGAGGGGCCCTGCTCCCCTCCCAGCCCTTCACCTAGCTCTGTGACTCCGACCCAGGCAGGCGCTGAAACGCTCCATGCCTCAGTTTCTTTTGTGTTAAGTGGGGTGATATGGTCTGCCCAGCTATGTCATGAAATTACATGGAAGAGACAATTAAATAACCATACAAATCCTCTCAAAAGTTAGAACAGTTAAAAGGAGAAGCTTCTTAAAGAAATGGAGCCTTTTTGATGCCAGCATCCGTGACTTTTCTGTTAATAAAGATGCTGTGCACCTGTCCTGGAGCAGGCTTCTCTCAGGTTCTTCCTGGACCGTGGGATTTCACTGCGTAAAATGCAAGAGTGTATGGAAAGAGGGGTGGGAGGGAGACCAGCATATGGGGAATGCAGGGATGGAGGCACCAGAAGAGGAGAGGCTGGAGGGGCCTGCCTCGTGGGGAGGTCTTTGGGAGCCTGGGGTCTGATGGCCGAGGTCATTGCTCTCTCTCCAGAACTCTACTACGACCGCGGGAACCACCATGAGTTTGTGTCCCTGGTGAAGGACCTGGCTCGGCCCGGAGAAATCACGCAGTCACAGGCCTTTGACTTTGAGTTCACCCATGTGGAGAAGCCGTATGAGTCATATACAGGGCAGAATGTGAAGCTGCGGTAAGTCGTTCTCACTTCCTCCACGCGTGCCCCACGCCCGGCCCTGTGGAGGGGCCCACAGCTCCTGTTTTCTGAGCACCTGGAGCCCAAGCCCAGCCCTGTGGAGGGGCCCACGGCTCTCCTGTTTTCTGAGCACCTGGAGGTGGATGGAGAAGGAGGACTGTGGTACGCCGGTCATTGTTTAACAGCCCCTGACTTGTAACGTTTGTCAGGTTCTGTGGTGTGCATTTGTATCCCTGCCAGCCCTGGTTCCATCCTGCAGCCTGGGAGAGGTACGTAGCTGTGTTTACAGAGCAGTCCCACTGCACAGACACCAGGTGGACATTCCTTCAAGAGCGAAGAGCATCGGGAAACATAGGAAAATAATTAGGAAGGAAGCTACAGGTTTTCAGACCGTGTTGCCTTTGTTTCCAATATATTTCATTTAATTGTCTAAGTTTCTACAATTTAAATATCTGCCGCTCATAAAGCTCCTGAAAATTCCATAATCAGTTTTTATAACTGCTGGCCAAGGCATAGCCCTTGTGGGGAATCCAGAGGTCCTGACCCACCTGTTGCTCCACACTGCCACACAATATCAGTGAGGGTTTGGGCTCCGCAATCAGCTTCCTCACTTGAAAAATGAGCAACAGATTTGGATTCAGCTCTGTACCTGTCCTCTCCATCTTTTGGGGATGACAAGAAAATAAAACATAACACAGTGTGACACACTTTTTTAAAAAAAGAAATATTGCATGTGTTCTAAGTACTTGGAATTGTTTTTACTGCTGCAGTCATGGGAACTGTGAGCACAGGCGTTGATGCCAGGGCCCACGGAGTGAGGACTCTTGGCTGCATCCCTGCAGTACGTGAAGTCCCAGGGATAAAGCAGACTCCTGTGTCACACTGCATACCCGACTCAGGTCAACAGATGAGCTCATTTTCCACTCCCTTCTCCCACTCTCTCCTCTGCCATTGGAACAGTGTTCCTGGGTTCTCTGAACACCTTGCAGCGGGTCTCAGCACTGATGTTACCCACACTAAATACAGTGTTTCATAACTGCACTCGGAAGGCAAAGATAGTGAGGATTCTCATTAGAAGTCATCCCTGAAGTGTGGCTATGGATTTATTATTTGGGGGGGGGGGGGGCAGTGGATTTGTAAATTTTTTTTAAAGATTTATATATTGAAAGGCAGAGTGACAGAGGGAGACAGACATCTTCCATCCTCTGCTTCACTTCCGAGCTGCCTGCAACATGTGGCTGAACCAGGGTGAAGCCAGGAGGCTGGAGCTCCAGCTAGACTGCCGTGTCAGTGGCAGGGACCACTGACGTGATTTAGGCCATCATCTGCTTTTCAGTTGCATTAGCAGGAAGCTGGATTTGAAGCAGAGGAGCTGGGACTTGAAAATCAGCACTCCAACATGGGATGTGGGCATCTCAAGCAGTGGCTTAATTCTCTGTGGCCATAATGGCTGGCCCATGAAGGGTTTTATGTCAGAAAAAAAGGTGTTGAAAACAGTATGACAGTTCTTCAAAAAGTTAAACACAGAATTACATGGTCCACCAATTCTGCTCCTGGCTATACATCCAACAATATTGAAATAGGATCTGAGATAGGATCCAGAACAGATATTTGCACACTCGTGTTCATATCAGTATTATTCACAATAACCAAAAGATAGAAGCAAACTATGTCTGTTGATGGGTGAGCAGATAACAAAATGTGGGGTGAGCATTATGGCACAGTAGGTTAAGCTGCTGTCGGTGACCCCAACATCCCATGTGAGCACGAGGTCAAGGCCCAGCTGCTCCTCTTCTGCTCCAGCTCCCTGTTAATTTGCCTTTGAAAGCAGCAGATGACCCTTGAGCCCCTGCCACCCACATGTGGGAGATTTGCATGAGTTCCTAGTTTTAGCCTGATCCATCCCTGGCCGTTGCAGCCTTTTGGGGCATATAGAAAATCTCTCTTTTCTCTCTGTATCTGTATCTCTGACTTTGCCTTTCAAAGTAAATAAAATAAGTCTTAAAAAATGTGGTATAGACATAAAGTGAAATACTACATACTCTTAAAAAGGAAGGGAATTGTGTCATATGCTACAGTGTGGATGAACCTGAAGGACATTATGCTAAGTGAAATAAGCCAGTCGTAAGAAGACAAATGCTGTGTGATTCTACTTTTATGAGGTCCCTAGAATTGTCAGATCGTAGAGACGGAGAGAAGGGTGCTTGCTAGAGGCTGAGGGGAAGGGAAGAAGGGAGCTGCCCTCAGTGGCGATGTTGACAAGTTCTGGAGGTGTGTGGTGGTGATGGTCACACACAGTGTGAAGGTACCTAATCCTGCTTTGAACTAGACAGTTAAAAATAGCTAAGAGGGTAAATTTCAAGTTATGTATATTTTACCATAACTTAAAAAATAAAAATATTACCATCCAAATTAGATGAAGACTTTAGAATTCATATTGAAAAAGAGAAGAGGTGAAGGTAAGCAAATTAGTTGAGGACAGTTTATAGAAGATGAGCTTGTATCTTAGTGACAGGGTGGAGGGAAAACTTGAAAAGATTGTTTTGCCTTTTCTTTCCCTTTATTTTTTAGGCAGAAGAGATTATCTCCTTTTTAAAGATTTTGGTTTATTTATTAGAGAGAGAGATCTTCCATCTGCTGGTTCACTCCCCAAATGACCTCAATGGTTGGGGTTTGTCCAAACCAAAGCCAGGAGCCAGGAACTCCCTCTCCCACGTGGGTGGCAGGGCCCAACTACTTGGGTCATCCACTGCTGCCTTCCCAATTGTATTAGCAGAGAGCTGGATCAGAAGTGGAGTAGCTGGGACTCGAACTGGCACTTTGATATGGGATGCCAGAGAGATTCTTTTGAAAGTGTAAAGTCAATAGGTAGCACTTGGGGGGCGCGGGGTGGGGGATATGGGAACAAAACTGTTCCAAGGCTGTTATGAGGCCCTAGGAACTTGACTTCGGTAAACACAACGGGAACAGGTGGAAAACAAAGAATTCAATAGATACCGGCAGAATTTACTAATGGGCAGAGGCTTGCAGCATTGGAGATGGGGACAGAGGGCACTGGGAGGAAGAAACAATTGGAAATACGATGATTCGTCTCTTCTTGAGAGGGATTTGAGGTACTGGCAAAATAGGTGTAAAAGTCCACCGGACAGCTGGAACACAAGCCTGGTGCTGAGGACACAGGGACCCTTAGAAGTGAGTCGGGAATCATCTGCTCCAGGTAGTGAGTGATAGCTTTCTCCAGGAGGGTGGAGCTCAGGGAGGGAAGAGCTGGGACCCACAGAGGGATGGGGGGGGGGGGGAGGCATGCCACATCCTGTGGCGCCATGGGACCAGCGTGTCAAGGACAAGGAAGTGTTTTACCCCACACAGAAGGAAAGGCCATTGGATTTGGCAACTCAAGGGCCACTAGTTCCCCTCTGGAGAGCAGTCTCTGTTGGGTGATGGTTAGCAGCCTGAAGCCACGGTCAGTGGTCAGCACAGGACCTGGCTTGTGAACAGCGTTTGCTGAAGAAGTGGAAGGAAGGCGGGGCCCGTCAGGAGTGAACAGGGAGAGCAGAACGATCAAGATGCCAGGCAGAGGTTCCCACATTCGAGTCACTTGGAAAGCTTTAAAAAATTGTGTCTGTGTCCTTGTCCAGGGCAATTAGATGTCAGAGGTACTTGGGCATCAGGATTTTTTTTTAAAGTTTTATTTTATTTGTTTGAAAGATAGAGTTATAGGGCTGGGGGGGGGGGGCAGAGAGAAAGAGAGAGAGAAGGATCTTCCATCCGCTGGTTCACTCCCCAGATGGTTACAGTGGCTGGAGCTGCACTGATCTGAAGCCAGGAGCCAGGGCTTCTTCCGGGTCTCCCACATAGGTGCAGGGGCCAAAGGACTTGGGACATCTTTTTTTTCTTTTTTTTTTTTTTTAACTTTTATTTAATGAATATAAATTTCCAAAGTACGGCTTATGGATTACAATGGCTTCCCCCCCATACCGTCCCTCCCACCCGCAACCCTCCCCTTTCCCACTCGACTTGGGACATCTTATACTGCTTTTCCAGGTGCGTTAGCAGGAAGCTGGATTGGAAGTGGAGCAGCTGGGAGTCGAACTGGCGCCCATATGGGATGCTGGCCCTGCAGACCAGGGCTTTAACTAACCCGCTGCGCCCAGGGCCGGCCCCAGCATCAGGATGTTTGAAGCCTCTCTGCCTGCTCCTCAGATGACTAGTAACGCACACCCAGGTTGGGAATCCTTGTGCCAGATAGAGGAGGACAGGCTTGAGAGACAGAGGTGCTGTGGGTGAAGAAGAGGCACGTTTAGGCGCACAAAGCAGAGAAGGCAGAGAATGTTGCCTGGGAAGGCCTTCGTCTCTGAACGAGTGAAAAACAGTGTCTTCTGCAGACAGGGATGGGGGGGGCTGGGGAGCCTGAGCCATTGGAAAAGGTACAAATGGCCTGGGCAATGTGATGGATGTTACTGAGGTGAACAAACAGGAGCGCCGAGCAGCCAGCAGTGCCACGTGGAGTTACCCTTGTAACTTTCTTCAGCAGTGCTTAAGGCACTGGAGATGATCCGAGTTTTATTTATCAGAAAGTGTGATGAAAGGGGTGCTTTTTCCCTCTTTGGGTGTTAGTGTAGTGTTAAGGCAAGGGGACAAGGATTCCAGCCCCCCCCCCCCCCCCCCAGGACTGTCCCTATGTCTTCTTTCCAGTTTGTCCCCTGCCATAGCAGCCCCCCTCTCCAGGGATCCTAAGTTCAGCCAGATATTTGTTATTCAAACAGACCAGGTCCTCTTGTTGCTTTACGTGTAAGGTTTGCGTTTCCACTCTCAGCCCTTGGCACTGGATTGCGCCATCTGAATTGGCACTGTCCGTGTATTCTCAGTGTTCCTGTTTATTTGCCCATCTCCCTCAGTAGCCTGTGGGTTTCCCATGAGGCTGCATCATATTCACCCCATGCCAGGCCCAGTGCTCAGTACCTGTATGCAGCGTGAATAGCCGACTTCATTTCTGTGTTCCCTCTTCTTTCACCTGTCCGGGACGTGAAAAATGTTTGTTGATCGAATACTGTTAAATGAGCAGGTGTGCCAGTATGTGGGTAGGAGACAGATCTCTGCACTCAAAAAGCCAGGAGTTGAAGAAATAAAGCATGTACCCAAACATATGGTAGACAGTGGCAGGGCCACGAAGGACCTAAGAACAGCAGAGGGAAACATTCTTACTTGGAACAGAGTTCTTAACCCAGGAACATGGGTTCCAAAGTTGGATTTGGGAAAAGGGACTGGAATCCCCTAGAGTTATAGTTACAGAATTTTGGGTGTAGGTGTATATGTGTATTTTCTCCTGGGAAGAGGGTTTGCAAACTCTCAAAGGCATACGAAGTCGCCAGAAATTAAGAATGAATCCCTGTAAGGGATTCACCCAACTGGGCCACTCTAGTCCCTGTGTTTGGGTAGCATCTGGAGGCTGGGTGTGTTCACTCAAGGGCTCCCTCTCTTCCAGCTATTTCCTTCGAGCCACCATTAGCCGCCGCCTCAACGATGTTGTCAAAGAGATGGACATCGTGGTTCACACGCTCAGCACATACCCGGAGCTGAACTCATCCATCAAGATGGAGGTTGGCATCGAGGACTGCCTGCACATTGAGTTTGAGTATAATAAATCCAAGTAAGTGTCCCAGGGCAGTGGATTAGTTACCAAGGGAGGTTAGGATTGGTGGAGCGGTGACTCGGACATTTCATCATGACATGGTGTGGAGGGAGACCCCTGACATGAAACAGAGAAAGTCTGTGTTAAGCCAGTTACATTTAGTTTGTCCAGGAAATGCAAACATCCAGAGGCTGTGGGGAGTGGGAGCTGAGTCAGGTGGCTTGCCTTTGATGGGACTGAGAGCAGAATTTTTTTTTTTTTAAGCTGGGAACATACTTGGTCTCTGGAACCTGGGTGAAGGAAAGATGTGCTTTTGCCCCACCACCTGACCCGGTGAGACAACCAGAGCAGCCCAGCACCAGTGCTGCCGGGCCTGGCCCCACATGTGAACCTGGGGTTGGGCGAGCTGGGAGGAAGGCAGTTCTGGGCCTAGCAAGGGCACAGGCTGCGTCTCCATTCTCCTGACAGTCTGAGTGGCCCATTAATGCCCCCGCCACAGGTGAAAGCAGCAGTGTCTCCTCCAAGAGCCTACAACAGCCATTAGAAGTAAACACAAGACCAGATCTTTTCAGTCATTAACATATGGTCAGGGGCCAGGTACTTCCAGACTACCTGCGCTGTGTGAGAGTGCATGAGTTACGTGTAATAGGAAGGAGTTATATGTAAAAGGAAGACTTGGAAACAGGTCCTATTCTGCCATTAACAAGTTGCATGAAAGTAAGTTAGTTCTACCATTTTTGTACCTCAGTTTTTCATCTGAAAAACAAGGGGCATGGACCACGTCCGTGGCTTTCAAACAAACCCAGGAAGTGGGAGGTGAAGGAAGAACAGGGTCTGGAGCCCTGAGGCCCCCATGACTCTTCAATCCAAGAGCAGGTCTCTGTCTCTTACATAGGAATGCTTCCATCTGGAGTAAAGTAACAAGTGACAAAAGTTTGAAAGCCCCGGAGTCCATGGTCTCCCTGCATCCCCTGTGAAATGCTGCAGGTGTCCTGCACGTTTGTGCTGACGTTACCCACGCGGTGTCTGCAGTCTGCTCCATCGGCTCTGAGCAGAACAGGGGCTGTGAAGTGGTGGGGACCACGCGTGCTGGGGAACTCGGATTCTGGGTCCGCCTCCTGTCTCTACCCCATGCTCCCAAATTTCCTTTTCTTCATTGGTATCATAAAGAGTTCCAAGTTCCAAAGTCCCTGCTAGCATGTCATGTTCTATGAGTTTCGGGTTTGAAGATTTTGCCCTCTTTGTACTTGCCTGATACAGAGGTGTACACATATAGACTGACTTTTGACCAGGCCAAAGAGAGAATCCTCAATGGCTCTGAAAGTGTACAATGTGGAGAAATTCACAGCAGCTCACAAAGCCTAGAGAGCGGGACTGAGGCAGAGACAGTGGCAGGGATGGAAGTCACCTAGGTTGAGGTGGAGAAGAGTTGGGAAGTCCACAGCACAGGTGGGAGGCTGGGGCGTGTAGGCGCCACATTGCATCATTCCCTGTAAGGTGCACGGCCGTGGTGGTGTACTCTCCACTGACACAGAATGGAGCCGGCCACTGCACCAGCATCTTCCTCTTTTTACTTTCTGTTCCTCAGATACCACTTGAAAGATGTCATCGTAGGGAAGATATACTTCCTGCTGGTGAGAATCAAAATCAAGCACATGGAGATAGACATCATCAAGCGGGAGACAACAGGCACCGGCCCCAACGTGTACCACGAGAATGACACGATAGCCAAGTATGAGATAATGGACGGGGCGCCGGTGCGAGGTGAGCCTCCTGCCCAGGGCCTGCACGGAGTTTGGGAGGGTCCCGGGGGAGTGCACGGGACCCATACTTTATTATTAACAACTCATACTTTATTATTATTATTATTATTATTATTATTAGAGCAGAGTTACAGAGAGGGAGAGAGGAAAGAGAGAAAGAGAAAGTGTCTTCCATTCATTAGTGCACTCCCCAAATGGTTGCAACGGTCATGGCTGGGCCAGGCCAAAGCCAGAAGCCAGGAGCTTCTTCTGGGTCTCCCAAGTAGGTGCAGGGGCCCAAGGACTTGGGCCATCTACTGCTGCTTTCCCAGGTGCATTAGCAGGGAGCTGGATCGGAAGTGGAGCAGCCAGGGCTCAAACCAGTGCCCATATGGGATGCTGGCATTGCAGGCAGTGTCTTAACCAGCCCCAACCCGTAATTCCTTAGTCTCTGTGTGCTGTGGATGCTAACATGGAGAAAAGGAGCACTGAGTCTCCTACCCTGCCTTTGCCCAGGAGAGCTTCAGTTGATCTCATTTATATTCTGGGCTAGTACTTAACATTTAGTCTCAAGAGTCCTAACTCTTGTAAAAATATGTTTGAAAAGTCCTTGTTTACCAGATACAGCTTGAAAATTTTACTTTTTTCCATTGACATGTTGACATTCTTCCTTGCTTCAGAATAAGAGATGCATGCAGAGTGGTCATTTTTGTTTCTGAGTTCTAGCTCGGACAGAAAGTCTCAGTGCATATTCATCAAGTGTGGTCTGGCCCACTGGCAGGTGTGCGGCAGAACTGGGAACACAGTGGAATGGGCCCTCCTCGTCCCCTGCAGCCACTGCTGCAGCAGGGATGGGGAGTGGACTCTTTGCCGTTCGGTTTGGGAGTAGCAGTCATGCACACTCCTCACTGAGTCCACAGCATCGGCGAGCAGGCCCTCATTCCGAAGAGTCCGGTGCTTGTGGAGTTTGTTTATCCCATAGCCTGATGTGTGTGGGAGGAGGAGTGTCATAGATTCAGCAGCCCTCAACCCTAGAGACACTCTCATTGGTTCCTGGGTGTCACCGTGCGAGGCCCTTGTGGGGCAGGGGTCAAGACCGAGCTCTCCTAACTCTGCAGTGTTGTATTTTCCTCACCATCTGTGCACCCAGAGCCAACTGTCATTTTTCCTGTACAGATGAAATGGGGGCATTGAGAAATAACACAAAGCAGCAGATAATTAAAAGAGCATATATTTAGCTTTGGATGACATGAGAGGTTTGGCCTTTCTCAGTAGAATTACTGTCCTGGTTTTGTTCTACAGGAAAGAAATGGTGATAAGAGCTAAAAGTGATCTAAAATATCATGCAGTCCAGAGAAAGCAACAGACTCACTCAGGAGTTTGGTTAATGGAGAACAAGGGACAGAATGAAGATTTTGTTTTCTGCTGTGCCCATTTATATTGGGGCTGTATTTGGTGGTGGGGGGGTAGGGGGGCAAACTAACTTAGAATGGAGGGAGATGGCACTGGCACTGAAATTGCTGGGGATGTGCCAGCTGCCTCCTGAAGACCCAGTAACAAGATGCATTGCGTGTTATCAATAGGTGCTTCACAGTTATGTCCTTGTGCTGTCCACTCAGTATTCTCAGAGTGGCAGTGGTGAGAGGACAGGAGCCACAAGGAGACCTGGACTGGGAGTGTCACATTTCCGCTTCAGTTGACTGCTGGGTAGCAGAGTGCAGGTTCCCCAGAGGCAGATGCATTCACTGTTGTGTGCCAGGCTGTGGACAGGCAGCATCTCATCTGCTGTGGTCAGCGGGATCTGGTATAAGGCAGAGTGGGTCACTTTGCTCCTTGTTCTGATTCCTGCTTCACCCGACAGGAGAGTCCATCCCGATCCGGCTCTTCCTAGCAGGGTACGAGCTCACGCCCACCATGCGGGACATCAACAAGAAGTTCTCTGTGCGCTATTACCTCAACCTGGTGCTGATAGACGAGGAGGAACGGCGCTACTTCAAGCAGCAGGTGAGGAACGGGCACCTCCTTCAGGCCCCTGGTTGCCCTGGGACAGAACAGGAAGGTTCCAATTCTGACAGACAGACTTAGCAGAATGGCTCAGGGAGGAAGTTTTTTTTTTTTTTTTTTTTTCCAGATTTATTTGAAAGGCAGAGTTAGAGATAGAGGTCTTCAATCTGCTGTTTCACTCCCCAAATGGCCACAACAACTGGGGCTGCGCCAGACTGAAGCTAGGAGCCAGGAGCTTCTCCCGGGTCTCCCAAGTGGGTGCAGGGGCCCAAAGGACTTGGCCCTTCTGCTGCTGCTTTCCCAGGTGCATTAGCAGGGGGCTGGATAGGAAGTAGAACAGCTGAGACTCAACTGGCACTCATATGGGATACCTACACTGCAGATGGTGGGTTAACCCGGTGCACCAGGGAGGAAGCTTCTAACCTGTCTCTGTGCCACTTGTCATTTTAGCCAGAGATGGTGATAGTAGGTTAGCCAGATTCCCACGGCAAAAATGAGGATTCCGCTTGATACTCAGAATCTGCTTTCTGGGGCCTCCCTCCTGGCCCAGGAAGGAGCCAGGAAAGACTTAGCAGCCACTGCCTTTGGTGAGAGATCCACAGGGGAGATTCTTGTCCGAGAGTCCCCAGAACCAAGCTGGGAGCCTCTGGGAGACCCATCCTCTACCTCCTTCTCAGTGTTGCCTTGTCCCGCTCTCCCCAATCCTGCAGGAAGTGGTGTTGTGGCGGAAGGGTGACATCGTTCGCAAGAGCATGTCCCACCAGGCAGCCATTGCCTCACAGCGCTTCGAGGGCACAACCTCCCTAGGTGAGGTGCGGACCCCAGGCCAGCTGTCCGACAACAACAGCAGACAGTAGGCCCCCAGGGCCAGAAGCTGCTGGGCTCCACCCCAGCACCCCCATCTACTAAACACCAGCGGCTGGGGGAGGGGGAGGACGGTGTGAGACTCAGCTGACTGCTACTTGCAACCCGAAAACAAATCATGTTTTTGACTTCATTCTTTCCTCTGGAGAACCCAAGGGGCACGGGTGGGGAAGCAGCCTCCTTGGGATTCCGTGGCTGACTAGGGATTGGGAGACGCAGCGTCCAGGAAGCTGGTCTCCAGGGAGTAAGCCTTCTGCTGAAGTCCTTGTGGGGCTGCCTCGCGTCTTAAAGGCAGGCAGAGTGTGCGTCCATGTCTCCTGGTTTTCGGAGCTTCCTGATTCAGGGTCTGGGCTGTCCCTGGGGTTCTGAGCCGCCAGTGGGGCCCTAGGTGGTCACGTCTTACACTCCCCTCTGCTGTCCCTGAGGCGGTGGCAGAAGGAGGTGGACTTCCCCATCCTGACTGGTGGAGGGGGAAGCCTCAAGATCAGAAAGCTACCTCTTTGGGAGTCTTGTACGTGGTGCTTTGAAGTCTCCACAAGCCACCGTCCTGCTGGCCTCCCTCTGCCGGGACCCAGGCACCTGCCTTCTCCATCTTCTCTGGATTGTCAGTAGCATCCTGAGACAGAAGCCAGGAGACAGGCCTGGGGCTGACCATTCTTCACCCCTAAGAAATGCCTGGGCACAGAGGCCCTGGGGCAGCTGTCGCACACCAGTGACAGCAGCGTGAAGCCCAGGTCAGGCCAGGCCCCCTGAGGAAGACGGGGTCTGTGCATGGCGCCTGACGCCTTCACTGTGTGGCCATGCCACTTGGTAACACCGCAGTCTGGGTGGTTCTGCAGTACTTGCTTGTTGTGCCCCGACCAGCCCTAAACAAAGAGAGGCTGTTCCTTTAAGAAGAGATCCTGGGAAGGGGCTCTGACCCTAAGAGCAGACCCTTGTCACTCCTTGCCCTCCATTTAATTTCCAGAACTGGGCTTGACTTAAACACTTGGAGAGATTTTTGTTTTTAATCCCACCTCGAGTCCCTTCACCCAACCTACAAGTTAAGGGAGGGAGAAGGGGGCCTCAGCTGACAACTCTGCTCCCCCAGCTCCTGAATAATTTTGCTTGCCAAGTTATGTCTTCATCTTCCCCAGCTGACTGACCCAAGTCCAGGACCATTGGTAGTTTTCTTTTGAAAACACATAAAACACACACTCTGGTGTATATTCTTATTACGCTAGACAAGTGGGCAGTTTTTCCTCTGTTGCTCTGTGCTTGGGCCTAGAGCCCTAAAGGGGTTCACAGTCCTTTTCTGCATCACCTCGGAATCACCAGGCATCACCTGCCAGTGGCCTCCCTTCTCTTTAGGGAAAGGCTGAGACCCCAGTGAGTCTAATATTTGGCAGCCTAAGTTTGCAGTAATTTGGAAAGTAGAGAGGTTGGTTCCCTTGTCATCTTTCTGTTAGTGTGGAACCTAAGGACTCCCCTTTTCCTCAGGAATCAACACAGAGTAGGGCTCGTGGATCAGAGCTGAGAGTTGGGGGAGGGCCTTCGGGGTGATACATGAGGCTGGGGGCAACAGAACAAGGAAGATAAGCATGTTCAGGTGCGACACACAATCCCCAGGGAACAGGACCACCTGTCCTGCTGCCCTTGGATGACCAAGGCTGGGGCTCACGTGTATGAGGGAGGCAGTTTCTGTGTTCCCCGGCATTTTCAGAACGTGAGACACGGCTTGGGAGGCCCCCTCTCAATAGCTGGTATTCTTCATTAGAAAGCACTTGTCCATTCCTCTGCCTCCCGACTGACAACACAAGGTCCTCTTCCAGCTTCCCTAACATTTCAACCTTTCTCCTGCAAGAACTAGAATATAGAATTTGCTTTCTCTTGGGAGCTGTGTACAAGCCAGCCAGGCCTTCTGTCTTCTTGTACTCCACCCCCACTCTCTACTTCTCTGTCCAACTGTGAAAGTGAGGGGAGCCTCCTGCTCCCCCTCCTTTAAGGTCCCCATTCCTAGGAGGGCATAGGTACTAAACCAAGCAGTGCAACTTGTAATTAAGCAGCTGCAGTGTTTACATGTTTCTTAATGTGTTGTCTTTTCAATGGCTGTATTTAAAAGAAGAACACTTGTTTTAATGGTCTAATTAAAGGAAGCCCCTGTGGCTTTGGAGGCATTGTGCCCATGGTCCATCAGGGTCTCTGGTCTCTTCTGTCTCACACTGTCCCACCTCTGGCACTCCAGAAAGACACGTGCCTGCCCTAACTCCAGCACAGCACCTGCTGGCTCGGTGAATGATAGCACTTGGTGGGCCACCTGAGAAATGAATTGTTTTACCACTGTCTCACAGGTTATTCTGAAACTGTTCATGGGTCAAGCCTCTGTGGGTCCCAGATGACTTCCAGGGCAGGTGGGGAGGGCTGGAATAGAAAGACCAACCGCTAGCTGTGGTGGCTGTTAACACACCAGGTCTCAGTCCTACATCTATTTGCTCTGTAACCACTGACGACAGTCAAGGAAGCTGGAAGAGGCAGTCCTGCATCTTGGAGCCAAAGGAACCAGCCTGAAGGTAAGAATTCAGCAGGGGACTGTATGCACCCAATGTGGTTTTAGAAGAAAAGCCTTCCAACTTTGAGATCAACGTTTTATTGAAAAAAGTACACAAAACCCACCTATGTGCAAAACGCCAGGTGAATGTAACAAGCAACCCTTCTTACACCTTCCTTTTTCTTAGGAAAGCTTCACTTCTTTGGAGTAATGTCTTGCTCATGCCCACAGCACTGTCTCAGTTAACTTGGTTCCTTTTCCTCCAGGCTCAAAATAAAATCAAACTCTTCTATCAAAAAGGGGAAAAAGGAAGGGAGGAATTAGGTGTTATGTTGTCAGATACTGGTAGGTATGTCCCACGTGGTTTAAGCACACTGCCATTCATTCAGAAACCATGGAGTGACCAAGTGCCAAGCACTGCTGAGTACTGGGTTCACAGTCATGGGTAACTCAGGACATACTCCTGCTCTGTGGCTTTTCAGGTGAGGACACTGACAGAGGTTAACACCGTGCCCAGGCTGAATCAGCCAGCAAGTGGGGATTCCCAGGGTCATTCCAGGGGGAGGACTATAGGGAAATGGCCCACTCTTACCTTGTGTCAGGGGCTGAACTGACAGTCTCTGGCGGGTGAAGAGAGCCATGTTTTTTAAGGGGCCACCCGTGGCTTTGTGAGCCTGGTGATAGGTTTTGAGCTCAGCCAGGGGGATGAAACGCTTCATCATCCGGACAAACTGTACATCCACCTACATGACAACAGCATATGGAACACAAAGAGATACCCAGCCATCTGCGCCTGTTCTGCTTGCAGAGAGCTCCTATGGGCAGGGCTGCAAATGCTGTTGTCTCCAAAGTCAGCATAACCTCCAATGGGCAGGAGCTGGGCTGTGTTGACCTAATAGCACCCTAGACCCTCCTCCTCCCTTTGTCCATCCTTCCCTTCTCATGAAATAAATAGGAATAGTCAGTCTTTACCATGGACCACTTGGGGTTGTCTTCTTTGCTGGATGGGTCATAGTGGGGACTGTTTTTCTCAAACTGGGTATGGTCTGGGTAAGCCTCCTTCACAATCTGAAACCAAAACCAGTGTCCAGTCGTTTGTCTGCACAACCCACTCCAAGGCCGATCTTTAACCCAGGTCTACCCTTTACTTTCTAGCCTGCACATTCTTGCCCCATTTGTCTTGTTGAGCCCACGAGAGCTCAAATGCCTGGAAATTAATTTACAGTCTCAGGCAAGCATAGTTAGGCTTTTACAAAAAGTCTCAAAGCATGTTCTAAAACCAAATGGTAAATGTTTTTATTGGTACCACTGGTTTTTACCATCTGCACAGTTGTTAATTTTATCCAGATAACTCTCAGCTTGTAGGAACTATAGCATGAAGCCTATTTTTGAATGAGAAACCAAGGATTAGACCTGGAGAGAAATCTTGTGCTTATAGGAGCTGAAAGGAAGGGTGGCCTTGCTTTAATCCTTGTCCTACAGGAAGGGGCCATGGCCTTCCTGTATGTCACGTGTCACAGTTTCTCTCTGTGATATCCAGTGACAGGGGATATGGGCAGGAAGCTGCTTATTTTTCTGTTAACCAATTTAAGCTGTGTCCTTTTGAACCTATAGGAGTAAGTCTCCCTAGAGGGAGAGGGATTGAGAACAAAACTCTCCAACTAACCTTCATAAGGCCTGCGATGCCTGGCTGTTTGCAGTTGCTATGGTAGAAGAAGGCTTCTTCTTCCAGCTTCATGGATCTAAGGAAGTTCCGCGCCTGTCCCATGGGAGAATAAATAAGAATTTTCTCCGCTAGCTTTTCTAAAAAGAAGTCAGTCTGCTTTTTATAGTTGGCTTTTTTTTTTTTTTTGCAGCCTCCCCCCAACTCATAATAAAGATGCTCCCCTTTTGCCAAGACACCCAGACTTGTACCAGGGCTCTGGCAGATTTCATTATACAGGCAGAGTAACTGAAGTATTTTTGAATGCATTTTCAGGTTAACTTGTCCAAGAGGTTCTGCTATCCCACTGTGTAGCTCTTGGGTGTCCTACCCCTTACTTTCTTACCTGGTAGTTGCGAACACCATCCCAGCATGCTGTCTGCTTGGGTTGGGCTTTGAGATCCTCAATACCAAACTAGGCAAGAAGAAACAAAGTCTGTTGTCAGACATTCCTTGGCCAACTGTAAGCACACAGTTCCCACCTCCACACTGAAGGAGCTACGGACTGTAATGCAAGTATATTGTTTGCTGCAAAGCAGCTCCACAGTCGGTGATGATGGGTGAATGTAAGCCTTGTGTTATCTTGTTATCCTTGCCAATTAAGAGGATTAGTTGAATGGATAATCCAGATGATAAAGTAATCTGCTGGCTATATGCATGCCACTTATTAAAAGTATTCCATATTTCATCCAGAATATTTCTACTTTATTTTCCTTAGGCTATTATTACAACAGTTTTACATACATTCCCTGAATGTAAACTGGTTTACATGGGTTCTGTGTGGGCAGGGAGACACCTGGCAGCAACACACGTGGTTAAGGGAAAAGCAGGCAAGACTGAGGTTGGAAAATGTAGCCCATGCTTGATTCTGTAAATAAAGTTTTTCTTGAACACCATACCTGCTTGTTTATGTCCTGTCTATGGCCAATTTTTGCTACAAGGACAGACTTGGAACAGATACTCGAAGACCTCAAGCCTACAACAGTTCTTACCTGACCCACTGCAGATAAAAGTTTTCCTACCTCTGCCTAGACAAAAGTGGCACAACACAGATACAGGTTGAGCATACCTAATCCAAAACTCTCAAAATGGTCCAAAATCCCAAAGTTTTCTGAACATCAGCAAAACCTGAGAACTCAAAAATCTGAAACCCCTCTAACCCCTATAGTTGATGGTAATAAATCCTGCTAATTTGATTCATTTTTACCTCATCCAGCCCTTCCAAGATCAGAACCTGGTTACAGAACTGTTTGGTGTCCCATATCCACTTCTCACTTCTCACACGATCTCACCTTCACATCTACACCTTTCTCTAGCCGGCTTTCTGGCTCTGACTTCATCAGCCAGTGGCTGTGTGGAGTCTTCTCACGGTTTTTAGAGGTTGGAGCTTTCTGAGGGCTGCAGTTCCCCACGTCAGCTGAGTTTTCAGTTTTGGTACATTTTTCAGATAGCCTCTTATTATCTGCAACAGGAGAAGAAAAAAAAAACCTTATGCTTGCTGAGAGGTTTGTTATATTCCGTTGTGGGAAAAGCTTAGATTTTGGCATCAGACCTGGATTCAGATCCTGGTTCCATCAATTACTACCTGTACCGCCACTCTTACAGATAAATTTCAGTTTATAAAAACTGGACTAGAATGTGTACTCTAGGATACCTTCTGGATTATCCATTCAATAAGAACACTTTACAAGGCTATTTAAATTAATGGTCCTGGCAGTAGTTGACAAATGGTTTCCTTCCCTCACTCTCTTTGCTCAGACTATCCACTCCCGAGGAAACTGAGCAACTTGGAGTTGTTTTAAAAATTAAATGGGGTAATACAAAGGGCTTACACAATGCCTGGCATTGTAATACATCTCAAATATTAACCATCATTACCATCTCACACTTCCTTCCTTGTACACTATGCTTCATGACCTTGTAGACATGGTAAAGATTGGATTTGATTCCAAAAGAATTAACAGAGAGGTACTTGGAACATAGTAGGCCACCCAACAGCTAACACTTGTTAGATTCTTACTACGTGAAGGCGTAACTCTAACTTGGCTAACCTACATAACCTGTGGGACGTTCTGTTCTTCCGGGTAGTGCTCCAGGTCACACATCCAGTTAACGGGAGGATCAAGATACCAGCTTAAGACTGGTCACTCTGGGTCTATCTGAATGGCCCCACCAATGACCATACCATGCTGGCTCTATATTTAGTCTGTTTCTACCTCTATCATTTGTGGCTGTCCAACGCTCTGAACTCAGCATGCCTTGCTAGCCTGTCTAGAGATGACAGTTAATAAGCACACTGCAGACACCTCGTATTTGTTAACGACTTCAGTGGGTTGGAGGCAGTCTGGAATCCTTGCCATGCCCTAGAGATGTGTTTTCTCTCCGTTCTTTGTATCTGCTCTATGTCACTCATCTTGTGAAGATAAAAATGGCACGATGTTCTTTGTGTACTAACACTGTGCCTGCGGAAAAGCCTTTCCATTCTTTAAAGTTGAATTCAAAGCCTGTTTTCCCAAGCGCTGCCATGTTATTCCAGGAATTCAGTCTCCAGGACTCTCTCCGCTAGACCTGTCTGCTTGTTTGCCGAGAGCAGCAAACGTAGATTCTTGACCTTAGCCACCCCGTATTGCAAATACTCTTCCTGTTTAAGAAAGATCTGTTTGAAAAAACAAGCAGAAGGGACTGTGGGGAGGAAGCCTGGCAGGAAGAGAAAACTTGTAAGATTAGGGATGACGGAATGGAAGACCGCAAAGCAGGGAGCAGAGAATCACATTAAACGGGCTTTTTTTTTTTTTTTTTTTTTTTTTTTTAAGGCGATGTCTTTTTGCAGCCTGGGTGCAGCTCACCTGGGCCAGCAGTCTCAGCCAGCCTCTTCCGGGGTCTTGGCATCGTCTCCCCTGCAGGGCGCGCAAGTGCGGAGGATTCTGGAACCCACCGAGAGACACGAGCAGCAACTCTACCGCCCCCAAAAGCCTAGGCAGAACAAGATGGAGGCCATGAGAGGACGGCTAAGGGCCTCGGAGTTTTGCGAAGAACGCAGACAGCTATGCTTAAGGCATTCAAATCGTGCCCTCCGTTATCTGCGCCGTTTGCAGCTCGCATACCCACCCCCACCCCCAAACTCTCGGTTTCCTTGACCCCTCTCACCCCTCCGCACAGCGGACCCCACCGGAGTGCGTGCAGTCAGAACCCGCGGGGTTAGGCTGAAGCCAAGACAGTGGGGCTTACGTCCTGCGGATCTCTGGGAGTTGTAGTCCCCGCGCCTTGGCAGCCCGGGGACTGCAACTGAGTGGACTACAACTCCCAGAGTGCAACGGGCTAAGGGGTCGTCTCCGCAAGTCCCGGCCCGCGCCAGGCAGCTGAAGTCGCTGTCTCCTGCTGCGATGCTGGTCTTCGGCTGTCGGCCCCTCAGGGCTCTCTTGGGAGCCCTGGGTGGCAGTCTCCGGGCCCCCGCCAGCCACCGGAGCTTGACTTCTTGCATCGACCGTAAGGCTGGCTCTGGGCTAGGGAGGGACAGTTGTCCGGGACCCGGACAGGCATGGGTGGAGGGCAGTGCGGAGGTGCGGGCACCCGGGGGTGGTTACCTGACCGACAGCTCCTTCACCTGCGGACCCGCTCCCCGCTCCGCCGCGTCCCACCAGCTCGGGGCCAGCTCCCCCGCTCCGCTCGGTCCAGTGGCCCCCAAACCAGCTCCCCGCACCCTCTGGTCACTCCCGGGGTTCCCACTCGACCCCGTGATCCCCTGGCCAGATACCGGCCCCCCACCCCGGTGTCGGAGCCTTTGGTTTGGTTGTTATCGGGGCCCCAGTGTCTCTTCTATACCTTGCAGTGCTTTGTAAAGATTGCTTCCCTAAGGGGAGTTAGGTAGTCGCTGATGGACTGCTCAGTGCTAGCCTGTATTCCGAGAGCTGCCAAGAACTCAACAGGTGGAACGACGTGTTGCTCAACTTGAAAGTAATTCATTTATCACCCACATAGCTAGCATCTTCGTGTTCCATTTTCAATTAACTATTTTTCAGCCGCGGTGAAAGAAACTAATCTGCCCTAAGAACCCGACAGAGCTCACCTTTGCCATTCTAAAAGAACCTGGCGCCCATCGCTGACCAGTGGAAGAAGGGCCAGGCTCACTGTGGACCAACCAGAGGCCCCCGCGCTGAGCTGATTGCATGTTGCTCATCCCTGATTCAGTACCTTTACTCCCTGGGGAGCCTGGGAAGGAAGCCATAGCCGCCTGGCTCCTTGCTCTGGGCATTGCAACAGAAACCTACTTTTCCCACCAGCCCACTGATGGGCTTACTGTACCTTGAATAAGTGGACATGGTTTTAGGGGTTCTATAGCAACTCCTCCAGCCAGTTTTGGGGGCTGAGCCATAGCACTCTGTCCTGTGCCCTGGGGCCAGCTCCCCTCTCCTCCACTGTCCTGGGCCAACAACCATCCCACTCACTCCCATACCAGCCCCATCCTACCCCTACATCCATCTCCCTGCTGTCCAGTCATTCCTAGGTGCTTAGAAAGGTGAAGAAACTTGGGACTTTCTGTTTATGTTTGTTTTTTAAGATCATCACATTAGGTCGTTAAGGTGATGAGGTTGTTAAACGATAATTGCTGGTGGTGATAGATGAACAAAAGTTCCAGGTAGCTGACGAAGATTTGCTGACATAAGTAGATTTATAACTTAACACCTTTAGCTATAAAGCATTTTTACCGTTGAAATTCCTGTAGGAAAAGTAACTATTATTGTAATTACAAAACTGTCAGAGATTACAAAACTGACTATAAAACTATAAAAATGTCTTTAGACAGCAGGCATATATTTGAATGTGAATAGCTGGGAGTAGACCCCAAGGGACTTAATTAGTCCCAGCCAGTTTATGATTTGTTCGCCAATCACCGAACTACATTTTGCTTCTGAAATTTAAAAAATTTATTTTAAATAAATGACACTTTTCTTTATAGCAGAATGAATTCCTTAGCTTGATATCAGATCTATAAAATGCACTATGGTATAGAATACTGCTTTCTTCTTGTATCCTAAAATTCCTTCAAGAAGTACCCTGTGCTCACACGTAGGGTTTGGTAAACAAGGTAACCTTGATTGATACCAAAGCAAATTTCTGTAGCAACAAGATGTTTGCATTATAATTGTTTACATCATCCTTGTGTAAATGAATCTTCTTCAACACTGCCATGTGGTAGACACTGAAGAAATATTCTTTTGTGAATGATCTCTGCGTATGAGCAACGGAAGCATTTCCACAAGAACGTGTGAATCAATGACCTGACCCCCAGCCGGGGAACTATGAATTGTTTATCCCTCTCCATATTCCTGAGTAAAATAATCAACATAGATTTCTGCTCTGGGCTTTCAAGGTAGCCTAGTGTGGGTTTCATGTTTTAATGAGAGTGCTGAGACAGAGGACAGCAGTGTTTTCTCCTGGCATAGCCTTTATGTATGCCCTTTTCCTTCATTGCCAAATAAGCCAATTGCTCAATTGATCTTTTAAAATGGAGACATTGATACATTCAAATAGGTAGGGTAGGAATTTTTCAAGATATCAGTACAGAAAACATAGGATCTCCCATAGGTGGGGGAATGTTTACCATAATTTGAGGATCAGTGTGTTTTCATTATTTTGTTTTTGGAGATTTATTTATTTATTTGAAAGTCAAGAGTTACAGAGAGGCAGAGGCAGAGGGAAAGAGAGGTCTTTATCCAATAGTTCACTCCGCAAATGGCCACAATGGCTAGAACTGAGCCTATCTGAAGCCAGGAGCCAGGAGCTTCTTCCAGGTCTCCCAAGTGAGTGCAGGGCCCAAGCACTTGAGCCATTCTCCACTGCCTTCCCTGGCTATAGCAGAGAGCCAGACTGAAGTGGAGCAGCCAGGACTTGAACACATATGGGATGCTGGCACCACAGGCAGTGGCTTTACCCCCATGCCACAGCACCGGCCCTTATTCATTATTTTTTAATATGGATTATGAGAAATAGAGTATTTGGAAAAAATCAGTAGGTAAATGATTTCAGCCAGCCCAGTTGGGAGTTAAGGAGGAAGGGAAAAGGTGACGGTGTTTGCTCCCTTCAGGCGACTCTGCACACTCTGATCCTGTTTGTACCCCGTTCCTCCTCATTTATTTTACTGTGACCTCTGCTTATCTAGGACTCCTGTTTAGTGTGTAGGGTAACATATGCCTGAGCAGTCACCAGGTTACTATCCTAGGTTTCTCTGTGTGTGTCTGAGGACTGTCTCTCCTGCCTCTGAGGGACTGACTGATAGCAGCTGAAGCCGTTCTCCTGCTGAGGCTGCAGTAGGTCCACTGTCTCAGCTTCCTGCTGCTGCTTGCTGGCAGCACGCTTGCCTGATGCTGGTCCTGGAACTGAACAAATGCACTCCTGCCCACAGCTTCCATGGGACTCAATGAAGAACAGAAAGAATTTCAGAAAGTGGCCTTTGACTTTGCCGCCCGGGAAATGGCCCCAAATATGGCAGAGTGGGACCAGAAGGTAGGAGTTTTCCCTGTGACTAGATGTTCCAACAGATGCCGCATGCAGTGACCCTCATCTTCATCTCCTTATACCCGTAAGGGGCCATTGTCCATTCTTTTACTACAAGTGAAAGGAGTGGGCATTGGTGATTGCTTTTGTAGAAGGCATTCTGATCTTTTTATAGATACTTTTTTTTTTTTTTTTGGTAAATTGAACGGGATTTGGATCTACTTAAAAAACCAGTTCTATAAATCATGAAACTTTTCAAGATCAGAACAACAGTTCTTGGAGACTGCATGTTAACTCATGCCACCGTGAGATGACAAACAGGCATATTAACCAGAGAATCTGTACACTGTCACTGTCTAAATGCAAACCTCCCAAGCCCCCAACCCCTGCCCCATTGTATTCTCTGAAGGAAAATCCATCTCTGACTTAGTCACCTAAGACTCTGCTCTTTTTTCATAATTAGGAGCTGTTTCCAGTGGATATGATGCGGAAGGCAGCCCAGCTGGGCTTTGGGGGAGTGTATGTGCGAACAGATGTGGGGGGCTCTGGCCTGTCACGGCTTGATACCTCTGTCATCTTTGAAGCCTTGGCCACAGGCTGCACCAGCACCACAGCCTATATGAGCATCCACAAGTGAGTGTCCCGGCTTGGAAAGCACAGTGCAGTGCCCACGGGGGTTGAGTGGGAAATACGAGACCCGTGGAGAGAAAAGGGAGCGTCTCGGGCAGATTGCCCTTGAGGAACTAGCCTGCCCAGAATGCCCTGCGTCTGCTGCTGCCTGTCAGACTTGAGTCTGTTGTCTTGGGCCTTGCTGACGGCATCGGTCTGCCAGCCTTCTCAGAGTCCTGACCTGAGCAGGTGTCATCAGACTTCTCTAGTCCCGTGGTCAGGATCCTGTTACCTGTTTTCTCAGTCCAAATATGAAACCTCCAGTAGCCAGAGAAATTAAGACAAAGTGCATGTAACTGCTTTTCCGGGGTCCTCTGTACATAACTAGAGCAGCCAAGGGAGAAACACCTGGTTATCTCTGGGCAGTGTGTATTCTAGGAGGTTGTTTTAATCCGGCCCTGTCTTTGAAGTTGAATCTTCTCAATTGTGACTTTTCCCTTCCCACTGTGCTTTCTGCTCTCTCTCCTCGGCTGCCCTTTGCTCTCTTTCCCCACCCCTGCCCCGATTTCCATTTCTTTTCCCTCTTTGTTTCTGTCAATGTCTTGTCTTCTTTATGTACCTATCAGCATGTGTGCCTGGATGATTGATAGCTTTGGAAATGAGGATCAGAGGCACAAATTTTGCCCACCGCTCTGTACCATGGAGAAGTTTGCTTCCTACTGCCTCACTGAACCAGGTGGGTTTGCTCTGCTGTGGCAAGAGCCAGCAAGAGAGAGATGGCTTTGGTAGTCATCAAGTACTCCTTCTCGCCCATCGACACACATAACCACTGTTGACCAAGCAGTTTTGTCATGGAGTACGTGGAGTAATACAGCTCTGTGACCTGATGTCATAGGACCGAGAGGCCTGTAGGTCAGGGGACCTCTTGGCTGCAGAACGGAGGCTCGGTGCCAGCTGCTGGTGTGTTGGGAGATGGACAGTGGTCTGACCAGCAGTTCCTTTGAATATGTGGATTTGAAAGTACCGCCCCCTAAGCTGTTGCCCCCTAAAGACGGTCTCCTGCGGAGGTGGAATCGTGCGGGGCTCCTTGACCCCCTCTCTGCTCACTTTTTGATTCCTGCCTCAGGAAGTGGGAGTGATGCTGCATCCCTGTTGACCTCGGCGAAACGACAAGGAGATCAGTACGTCCTCAATGGCTCCAAGGTACCGACAGACTGCCCGACTGTCTGTTCATATTCCCATGTGCTTCTTAAGTGCTGGGGAGAGAACTTCTGACCCATTTCCCTGTATTCACGCTCACTATCGCTGTCTCTTTTGATCTGATTCCAGATAATTTCACTCATTTTTGTCTCTCCTTTGATTCTCTAATCAACTAAATCCCCTTTTGTCCAGTGACTGTGGCTGTGGTTTATCCCTCTTTGGGCTCTCTGTGCCATTATGCCTTTTAGCGTCCTGTTGCTGGGAGGGCCCCAGGGATTTCCCCAGACGTTAGGCATTCCCTGATCCCTGTGCACCCCCTTCTGCAACCGCACAGGCCTTCATCAGCGGTGCTGGTGAAGCAGATATCTACGTGGTCATGTGCCGAACAGGAGGGCCAGGCCCCAAGGGCATCTCATGCATACTCGTTGAGAAGGGGACCCCTGGCCTCAGCTTTGGCAAGAAGGAGAAGAAGGTGAGTGATGACTGGGCAGGAAGCAATTCGAGTTATGAGACTCTGCCAGTTGCCAGGCCAACTCTTGTTGTATTTTAGGAAATAGAAGTTCACATTGTGGTTGTACCTACTAACTTGCCTTTGAGGCAGTTGCTTCTGTTGGGATTTTCAACAGGAGCGTGTAAAAATAGAACGCAGCATTGCTTAAAAAAAAAAAAATAATGGGGACCTTTTGGGAAAAGGACAAGATTTGCCATTAAAATCCACGAGCTGTTTGTTTAGGTACAGTGACCTCTCCTGCCTCCACTTCCATCCTCTGTTTCTTACCTGGTATTTTTTGTACTTGTTATCCCAAAAAAAAAGATACCTAGAGGCAATTGCAATTGGTGATGATCAGAAGTCTTAGGAATGAGAAGCATATGGGCTACCTTTCTTGTTTCAATAAAAATCAAGTAAAACTCGTTGTAGGTGATGGTGGGTATTTTGGTAATCTAGGAAGGACAGTAGATATCCCATAGACACCTAGAAAAGTAAGGGAATCCTAAGATGCAGTGCCAAAGCCAGACCATGAACAGCAGGCACACCATGGTATAACCATGGTTGGCAATTAGGGTGAACCCATTCACTTTTTTTTTAGCCCAATCAAAACTGTGATCTGCCTCTAATTTGTACTGTTAATGGTTAGGACTTTTGGGGAGAACTAGGTAATGAAATGATCCCTAAATATACGACTCTGGCATCTCCATATTTTCCTGCATGATACTTCCAGACTCTTAGTAACTGCCAAGGAGTTAGGAGTTTTAGGGCCTGTTTTGTAGACTAGCAGGCATTTACTATGTACTTGCTGTGTGCAAAGCCTCTTGCTAATTCCTGAGGGGAATACAAAATTCTAAAAGTCATTCCTAGCATTGTTTGGGATTATAAAACATATTTTCTTATCTGTGAGTATATGCTCTCTGAATTTTTTTTAAGATTTATTTAATAATTTATTTATGAGAGAGACAGAGAGAGAGAACTTCCATCCATAGAGAGAGAGAGAGAGAGAGAGAGAGAGAGAGCTTCCATCCACCGGTTTATTCCCCAAATGTCCGCAGTAGCCAGGGCTGGTCCAGGCTGATCCCAGGAGCCGGGGGCTTCATCGTGTTCAGAGCAGCTGGTGCAATATAGAACAGTCACAGGGGACTCATGAAGATAAGACTGGGCCCACGTTTGGAAAGGCTTTAAGTTAGAAGCGTAGGAATGCAGTTTATTTTGTGCACCAAAAAGAGCCATTGATGTATTAGTGTAAGGGAATGATGTGAAGGCAGTGGTGTTGTCAGAGCTGAAAGGGAGCTGGGAGATGTTATACTGTTTGTGGTTTTCAGACTTGCCTCATTAAGCCTGAGAGTTTTTTGAAGCATGGGAGTACCTGGAGGAAAAGATGAAAAGGATCAAGTAGTGAGGGCCCTAATTTATTTTATAGGGAAGATCAGAAAGTATTTGTTGGAAGGAAGAGGCTCTGCTGGGTTCTTCATCTGACTCCCTAGTGTCTAAGGAAAATGAAGGTCACCAAGTAGTTAAGTGATTTGCCCAAAGTTGAAAACTACAGCTAGATAGTTGCATGTCACAGGCTCGGATATGCAAAACTGCGCTTGGGACAGACACACTCAGGGAATGTCCTGGTAAACCAGCTCTCTGAAAATAAAACCAAAAACAAAACACCTATTTGTAGAGTTTGCCAATTTCTGTGGCATAAATACTCCCACCGGGGCTGATTCCAGGCCACCAATGTGATACCATGAAATGCAGAATAGGCAAAGATGTGTCTCAACAGCTCTCGTGAGCTGGCGCCAGGGCAGCAGTGGTCTCTGCCAGAGCAGTGTCCCCAGTGCATTCCCCCCAGCTAGTAGCAACAGTGTCCTTTATAAAAGAGAAGTGTAGGGGCCAGCGCCGTGGAACACTACGTTAATCCTCAGCCTGTGGCACTGGAATCCCATATGGGCTCCGGGTTCTAGTCCTGGTTGCTCCTCTTCCAGTCAAGCTCTGTACTGTGGCCCGGGAGGGCATTGGAGGATGGTCCAAGTGCTTGGGCCCCTGCACCACGTGGGAGACCAGGAGAAGCACCTGGTTCCTGGCTTTGGATCGGTGTAGCTCTGGCTGTGGTGGCCATTTGGGGAGTGAACCAATGGAGGGAAGACCTTTCTGTCTTTCTCTCTCACTGTCTGTAACTCTACCTGTCAAATAAATAAATAAAAATCTTCCAAAAAAATAGAGAGAAGTGTAGCTATTGTGAAGGCCTTTTACAGTAAATTAAGCTTCTCCAAATAGTCTTTGTATTGTCTCTATTATTATAAAAGGTTATACTCATAGAGGCATCAAAACAGAAGTTAGATCCCGCCCCAAGCCCACAAGAAATCATGAGAAGTATTTGTGGATAGTTAGTCTGATAAGCTAGATATTAGAAAGATAATTCTCTTAATATGATTAAAAAATACTTTGCTGAAACAAGGATCTGTGTGAGTGTCGACAAGTCTTTAAATCTGAACTTTTCCTTTTTCCCTGTTTTAAGTTCTGGTGGGCTCAAGTCCCAGAGTACTGGGCCCAGTACTTCACAGGCTTCTGTCCCTTGGGAAGGCCGCCCTGCCCAGTGGATTGCTGGGCAGCCACCCAGTCCCTGAT